TACTTTGTTTATCGACGGTTTTAAGGCTTTATTTGGGGAACGGTGAGTATTTTTTGTTTGTGAAAGTACATTAAGTACACAAAGTTAGAGAATGAATGAATGAAGAAAATGCGCACGTTAACTGTGGCTAATTGCCAATTTTCAGATTTTTAAAAGATATTCAGTTTATGGAGAGTAAATAAGGATTAACTTGTACCGACAAAGTGAAACAAATGTTTTGGTTTTGCAACAGACAGAATGTCTTCTTCTACGTCGTTGCCATGAAGCTAAAGATAAAAATGGAGGCCAGACTTAGAATACCTACTTGAAGCACAACCTATGTATCACTATCTCGCTCTCTGTGGGCAGGCTCTCTCTTTCTAAGTAGGGTAACCTTTTATTTATTTTTCTCAGGACGACAAAGACTGATTTACGTTTAAACAGTGTGTCTTGATAAAGTGCACTTAATATGATTATGAAAAAAGGTTTTCGATGTTTTTGTTTTAAGATGAATTACAACATTAAGAAAGTGTAAAGGCATCGAAAACTGTGGATATTTGATAGAAAACAGATTTTAATTTGGCAGTTGACAGACGGATTTGGATATGGATTGATTACAGTAAACGGCCGTAGAAAACATTATGCAAAATTAGATAAGTAAGGTCCCACAGAAAGTCCCAGATATATCCTCAATATGGTCATACTACTTCAAAATGTCTTATAGAAACAAAAATTTTAAATTTGCTCAAAGTCAATGAAACTCAATGTAAAATCTTCTTTTTCTTGACATATGTAACATTTAATAATAAGTTTAAATACTGGTAAAACGTTTTAGGAAGTAATTACTGTGAAAATACAAAGAAATATGTTAACAATGATCCACTGTCAGAAATCACGAAATAAACACTTACGCGTGGAATTTTATATCACTTCCAGGACAACACGAACTACCGCAACCACGCACTATACAATTTTGCACCATTTCTTCAGACAAAACAATGATAAGGTCCCTTGAAAAATCTCAAACGAAATCAACTGCATAGTAAACAACCGCCATGATGGGCCGGATTCGGCCGATGTTGCCACATTACCGATACCTCAGAAATTGGGATTGTAATTCCCTGATTCGCCAACACATTAAGCCTAAATGGCCGACAATTTTGTGATTTTTTATTTAACTAGGTAATCTAAGTTTCAAATATTAATTATTTATTTATTTAACTTCTTATTTGGTTAGTGAATTGGCTATTTCGAAGAATTTACAAGGAGATTTAAATAAGAAGATAGCAATACTACAGTTCACACTAAAAAGAGAAGTAGGGCCACAGAGAGCGAGATAGATATAAGTAGGTATTTGACTCAAGTTTTGTTCCCAACTTTGCCCTCCATTTTTATCTGTAGCTTCATGGTCGTTGCGTCTTTGTCTATAACGAAATACATCAAAATTGGTTCAGTGGTTTAGGCATACAAAAAGTAACTAATAAACAGAGAGACTTTCGCATTTATCATTATTTTTATCGATTAAAGTGTAAAAGCGGGAAAAAGTAACTACAATTACAAAACATTAAAAAAATATCGCCCACCCAAGCGTAAAATCCCGCCACCTGGTGGAAAACCCATTAAAACTATTTGTTCATGTATGCACATTAAAATTTGATTTCGTTACAAAATATCCTGTTCAAACCACATAAAAGTTCCATACAGGAAACGTATACCGTCTAAGAGCAATAATTGTATCGTAAACTAAATATGAAACGCACATGTCTCGGTGGACGACCTCTGTCGGCAAAATAGGAATAGTTTTGGAAAATCGATATAGGTTTTGACTTTTTTATAGATAAATGGGATTGTTCCCACCTCTCATTCCCACCACTGCAACTCCTGTGTAGCCAGGATCTACAGCTTGACTGCCAATAAAAACCCAACCAATGAAGGTCAAGTTTGTCCTGGAGGAAATTTTTTTATAGATAGGAAAAAATTAGACGCAAACTTTTCAAATAATGGTGGTGTTAATAAAAATAAAAAAAATCACAATAACTTGATAATTTTTTGTGCCGGGGCTTTCCCGATACTTGTGATGGTGAGTGGTGAGTAGATAGGTATAGATTAGAACACTTATTCGTAGCGTGGGCAGGCCTCCCACTAGGTGGACCGACGATCTGGTGAAGGTCGCGGGAGGCGCCGGGATGCGAGCGACGCAAGACCAATCTTTGTGGAGATCCTTTGTCCAGCAGTGGACGTCTTTCGGCTTATACGAACGAACGAACGAACTTATTCGTAACAGAACAACGAGCCGCTCTATGAAATGTTCTAGTGTATCACTCTTTCACGAATCAAACGTCGTTTATTTTATCATTCGTAAGCACTTAAAATTACATAGAATTGATTTAGTCTATACTGACCTTAATGAAAATGACTCGCCTCTTCCGAAACGATAAACAGAACTAATTTTTATGCAATACAATATTAAAAATAAAATAAAACAAAAAACCGAAAATTCACGTGCATAATAATATCTTTCAGCCAACTTTCCCCAAAACATAACGTATTTTTTCTTTTTCTCCCTCTGTATAACAAATCCATCAATCACCATGTTTCACCCTGGCAACACCGCAAGGACATAATCTATGGTAGATACTGCGTATCGCTTGCAATTTACCTAAAAGCTATAGGTAGATGATACAAAGCCAATGATAACTTAGGGTTCGTTATCAATGCACTGATAAGGGAAAAGGGCGCTAATCCAAACTACGACTATGTTTGCTGTTTTATTAAAATGCGCATACTTATCTTTGTTGCAATTTAGCCTACTTTTTGCCCGTGGATTGGCCTGAATTTATAAGTCATTAGCGGCCGTCCGCGACTTCGTACGCGTGGATCCCGTTTTACCCCCTTAGGGATGGAGTTTCGTAACATCCTTTCTTAGCGGATGCCTACGTCATAACATCTACCTGCATGCCAAATTTCAGCCCGATACGTCCAGTGGTTTGGGCTGTGCGTTGATAGATCACTATGTCAGTCAGTTATTATATTTAGATGTACCCAATGGGACCGGTCCTGCATGATCGGTCAATGAGACTGGATGCGGGCAACGCAGGACAGGTCATTATTCTTAACCCATTGTGACGAGCCGGGGGTTTTGTTGTACCAGGAATACCAGGGCCACGAGGAGAAAACCTTTATTTTAAAAAACAACTGGAGGAGGGGATCGGGCGTTCCCTCAAAGCCTCCCTCCTCCCTCCCTCTAGCCTGAGCCAGAGCTGCGGACAAATATGTCCGAGCTAGGACAATAACTCGCGGCTCCGTTTATTTGGGCTCCGGGGTACACCTTCGGGTTTTAGGACAGGTCATTATGAAAATCCTTGGGGAAGGCTTTTGCCCAGCTGTGGACGACATTTAGCTGAAACCAACCCAATGGGAATCCTATTGTTACATTAATCATCATCATCATCAGGTCATCATCAGGACCCTCTCTAATTTACCAGAAGCAAATAAAGGATTTGGCCTACATTCCCCGTTCTGGTCAGACGGGTTGGGGAGGCCTGATGGTCGCATATTTGTCCCTTAGTGGCCTTTTAAGATATTCATAAAAAGAGTGGTGGTAGTCATAATCCTTGCTGGAATCACACGTCAAATTATGCCATGATTTAATGTAACTTTTTAAAACCGAAGAAATGAAAAGTACCTACCATCAACTTTGTGAGTCAGCTCATGAGCCTAAGCACCAGAGTAACGCCAGTATTCACAAACGATACTTGCTTAAGTTAAGCAGCAGCAAATCGAACGCACAGCGTTGAATAGAGCTCTGTGATTAGTTTATTTGTCACCCTTTGCGTCCACGCGCACTCTCATACGTTCGTTAGAGTTGTCGCAAGAAATTTTGCTGAGTTACCGATGTCATTCTTATAACCATTATTAGGTCCTTCCCCACTTACTTCTAATTTCGTTGCTGGCCAGTTAGCTTTCCCCTGGGACCTCCCAAACTCCATTGATCGAGGTTAGTCTATGGTGCTTACGCAGAAGCCATTACCATGATGGGAACGAGAATTTGTGTCCTACAGAGTTGGAAGAGTTTTTAGTAGGTACCAAATAAATATTTTTTCTTTCTTTCTTCCAAAGTAAATAATGACTGAATGAAAGCTCAAATATAACTATGGGAGTTACAGCAAAAACATTAACATTACAATCTGACTTAAGCCCAGTAGAAGACTACCATAAATAGGCTAAAATGATGATGATGATGATTCCGTTTCAGCCAAATGACGTCTACTGCTGGACAAAGGCCTCCCCCAAGGATTTCCATAACGAACGGTTCTGCGCTGCCCGCATCCAGGTATTTTTTACTACCTTCACCAGATCGTCGGTCCACCTAGTGGATGTGTGGCCGTGATCGTCTCGTCACCTAGTGATTAGAACGTTGTATGATGATTACGGCTCCAGAACTTTAAAAATGACAGTGACTAAATTCTTTGTGACTATAATAATGACCATGAACCGCTATCCAATTGGCTTTTGGCTATTTTGAGCTAGCGGCTAATTTACTTGTCAGAACTGTCAGATGTCCGACGTGACATGACACACACAAAATTAAGACCTTTGGCTGGTTTTATGCTCCAATTAGATATTATTATTACTTACATTAGATACTTATTACGTATACCTACCTACTTTCATTCAGTACACAGAACAGCATAGCAATTACAGAGAAAACTGTCTGTTACATTTACACATCTAAACTACTGAAGCTATTTTGATACGATAATCAAATGTTTTAAATTATCTTTATTAGTAATTTGTTAAAATTTACCTATGTGAACAAAATTCCTTATGTTGGTTTTATAAGAAATGTGGAAACTATTTTTATATGCTTCTGATTTTAATAAATTATGTAGTTTGTAAAGAGTGACCGAAATCCATTCAGATAAATCCCCGGACTAAAATCAGTTTACATATTCAAACCCCCTGACCCTGATCCCTTACTAAACGATAAAAATTCTTCTTCCAGAAACCCACCATAAACAATGGACGACCGCACCATAGACCTGATCTTCGCGGGCTCGCTCAAGTTGCTTCCACCGGTCAGCTCGAAGATCGTGAGGATCTTCACCAGCTCTACCTTCACAGGTAAGAAGCACCGAAGACTGCTACTATCCATTGCTGGACACTACAGGCATGTCTCATAGGAAGCTATTGTGCAGTTTTGGGTCTACCATCGACGCGTCCTCAGGTTACGGATAGGGGAACGCCCCCCATTCGTGAGGGGTCCCAGCAGAGTAAATACAAATGAGTAGGTCATCTTCATAGAAACGCACCGAGCGCGGTTAGCATGTGAACGCGCCAATACGTATGCGGCGCGCACGCACACACTGACAAAATTTAGCGTGGATTAGCGGGGAGCCAGTCGTGGTTGCGCCGTATTGGCGCGCTCACATACAAACCGCGCTCGGTGCGTTTCTATGAAGATGACCTACTCATTTGAATTTACTCTGGTCCCGGTCGACCAGTGCAGACATAAACCCCGTGCGCGGGAGATCTCGTCAAGCCACCGGGGATGCCGGGTCGTTTTCCTGGTCCGCTATGTAGTGGACATCTTTAAAAACCACCACAGACGGGGGCTAGAGGGGTGTTTGCCCAGGGGCGCTCTCAGTACTCCTCTGATCAGCAGAGTTGTCTGAGCAGCGGCATTGAGAAGGCCGTCCCCCGATATGCCGGACCAGGGGTCCGCTGAGTGCTCTCATGGTCGCCACTCAAGAACTTTCCTGCCCCAGCGGCCATCAGCTCTACGAGCTATGTGCCGTGTGAGGTGTACATACTCATAGGACCTAAATGAATAACTTAGTCTTAAGAAATCGCTTCATACACATGAAACCATTACCTAACTCAGTTTCAGGCCTATTTAGTCGCACTAAACTGCAGTTTAGTGCTAAAACTGTTCAGAACGTTTACAACTTCTTAGTAGAATTCGCCACACCTGTCCTTTGGGGGCACGACATCGTCATCCCAATTTGAACTTTATACAGTTGTAATAAAAGCTTAAATTTTTCGGATAAGTAATAGTAATGCCGTTAAAGGTTTTATGTTTCGCGTGTAGCGAGTGTTTATTCGGATTTTGCTCGTTAAAATATATTTAGCGGTTGTAAATTAATATTATGAACTTTTGCTGATATTTTTTCGACTCAATTCCTTAGTCTGTAATGTGCTAAATAAATACGAGTTTTCAGAATGATTACTAACTTTTCTTATATTCGGAGTTTCCCTGCGTACAAACTAGGTATGTATATTGAATAGAAATTATTAAATATTTCGTTGCAAAATCACACCTATGACCACTACTTAAGATGCATTATTGAGCTTGACTTGCCGTCTTAATAATGTCCATCGATTCCTGCAAAAATACTCGGCCATCGGATTTTCATCGAATTTTCCCTAAAAGCCATTTTTAATAGCAATTCCGTTGATTTTGTCTGTAACGTTATGGCGCATAAAAACCATACTGCAAGTAGGAACAGTAACTCCAATTTGTAATCGATAACTTCACTGTAGGAGAGGCCTATTACGTAGTATGGATGTCCTAGGGCTGAAATTTATTTTATTTATTTATTACACATACGATATTATTACAGGCAAACTTAATGCAATGGTATACAATGATTATGATGATGAACTTCACTTCCATCATTTTAATTTATCAATTGAAACAAATCTAGTATTGAACAGAATTCATATTAAAACTCATCTTATGTTTTTGCTTGTTGTCCCAAAACGTATGTAACTTGATAATAAATGATAAGAAATCATTTATTTGCTCAGAAACATGGTAACAAAATGGTCGTTAGAAAATGTCAAGACCAACATGTTTTGTCCAGGATAGGCATGCAAATTTTACAAAATTAGAATCTATTAATAATAATAATATAGTAATAAATTAATTAAAAAATAAAATCAATGTCATTATAGGTACATAAATCAATCAGTCAGAAATTCTTTGACAGTATAAAAATAGGTATTAAAGATAAAACTGAAGAAAGTCATCGTTTTTGCGATATTAGATCAAATCTTTGCTAAAAGTCTCTGTCTATTACCATATAGTATTTTATTTATGGTTTTTCAATCAAAAAGATAATTAATGAAAATCTTTAAAAAATCCTTGAAGGGGCGTCAAATTATCTTCTTTTTAGAAGCATGTTTTTTGGAAACTCTTGTTTTAAAAAAGGCTTACTCGTCCTTCTTGCAGTGTGGTAAAGTGTTCCATCAAAATTCGTGCGCTAATTAAATTTCGAGCGATCGCATCCACTATCAGATAATGCTTGTTAATTAAAAGTTCTCCCTCCCCTCCCCCCACCCCCCACAGAAGGCTATTGTTGTATATTTTATTACTCAAAGTAGGTCAGCGAAGAATCCACGGAAGTTTGGATAGCAGTCTATGAAGGCTTTTTGATAATACTTACTCTTACCCTTGTTTTTTTATCACAAAACAGGGTCATTTCAGCGCCTTTACTGTGATCTTTTGTCTGTGTTTATGTCTGTAAGTTTGCTCAGAAACGTGTGGGAGAATACAATCTTTATTTGTTAGTTAATCAAAATCTTACTTCCCATTTAGTTCAAGCTAAATAAATTCATCAATTCATCAAACAAAAATTGATCAAGATGGTTTCACAACAGATTAAGAAAACTCGAAAGCTCTTTTTTTATAAGTTCGCTTTATTTCTTTTGCTTTATAGGCCATAACGGTTCACAATGATAACCAATGCTTGTACTAAAAAAAAATCTTTCTTTATTTATTTCTTCTTCTTCGTCTCCTTGTACATGATCCGAATAAAATTTTGTCTCACTATTTTCTTTTTATAAATACCTAAACCAACAGAGGTTAATGCCCTCGAGGAAAAGCTTTTGACAGATGGCAAGATCTCACGAACGAAACCACGGGCAAAGGCTTGCAATAAATTACCGTCAACCTGCATTACAAAATCTGCATTGTGCTGACGCAGTTGCAACCAGGTCGACGTGCCACGTAGGCACTGCATCTATATAATGGAAATTAGACACGACTGTACCTAGTGCCTGACTAACTTTCATTTAATTCAAACTTTACTTGCCTACTTACTTTACTTTCAACAACAACAAAACTTAAATCTTACAATTAGGTCGATTAAAGAAAAAAAAATCTAAAGACTTTCGAAAAATGTATTGCGCCGGAAACTCTTCTGTCCTTCAAGACTCCTCTTTTCCAATTAAAAGACTTCCACTCCTGGATAAGGTTTCTATAACAGCTGGTCCTCCAACATCTGCATATAGGCGCCTCCAGCAAGCCTGGTGCTTGTCATCGGTCTACCGAGTGGGAGGTCCACTTACTCTACGTCTCTCTGTGCATGGTCGAGATCTTTTCTATCGAAATGGCCATCAGTTCTACGAGCTAATGATATTAATTTCATAAGGCTTAAAAGAGTATTCCAGGGTATATAATTCCCATTTTTGATCACGGCATTCTTAACAACAATTACGAGTATTTGTGGAGTGTGAAAGCTCAAAACCTACGGCTTAATTTATCAAAAAAAAATTAGTGTTTGAATTCAATTCGATCTTGTTCTCATTTTTGGCCACGTGGGCAAAAAAGCTCTCACAACACCAAATCTTCACTCTGTATAGACACGTAGGACTAGGAGGGTGTAAATTCGGCGCCCTGTATAGACATGTCAGAACGGGGTCACAGTTTTAAAAGCCGGCTTAGACAATGGGCGGCATTACAGAGAGTGGCGGCGTATTTACCGCCGCTCCCTTGAGCCGCCGGTCACGCGATGTTTGTGCCACAAAAGGAGGGTAAAAGGTTTAGAAAGACAATTTTCTTGATTGTTGTCTATCTTTATTAAAGGTGGACATGGGTTAGAATTGGGTAGCTGACGAAAATTTCAAGACAACTCTTTGAAAAACGGTCATTTCAGCCCTGAAAACCAAGTTGCTTTTCATTTCGCTGTAAAACTTATAAAATAGGTAATTGTTTCAAGGCTAGAATATCCTATTTTGTAGAGGCTCATTGGCGTAGAATAGAGTAGAACCTTAATTTCGAACTCCTCCTATGTTCTTCTGATTAATTTCGTTGCGGGTCCAATGACAGTTTAACTTGCCCCCGGGACAAACTTGACCTTCATTGGTTGGGTTTTGTGGCGGTCAAGCTGTAGATCCTGGCTACACAGGAGTTGCAGTGGTAGGAACGAGAGGTGGGAATAGTCCCGTTTGGCGTAGAATAGAATGCATTCCTCGACCATTTAATAACGTAAGACTAGGTCACTGTTGTATTAAATTGTCGCTCGTTAAACCTTTATTTTTAGAAGGTTTCATAGGCCAAATATTATGACACTGTTTAAGTATTCCGTAACATACCTAACTAAAAGGACTAAGCAACTGACTCCTTTTATAATAGTGACTTATCCTGAAACTTTCTCTGGACTTTCAGCTAGAGTATTTTTCTCAAATAGCTGGGTCTACGAGACCCAGTGTCCACACGTACAAGTAAAACTTAATTAATAATTGTAACTTGCCATTCCAGACACCACGATGGAGAGGAACACACTGATGGCCAAGTGCTACCCTCGTATCAAGGACTACTGCAGGGAGAAACATGGACTGGAGTTCCAAGTAAGTTAACCCTCGAATGTTCTTTCAGTCGACAGCACAGAGTTTATTTTCCTGAAGTTGGAGTACCTACCTACTCGTACGTCGATCAAAACAATAACGAACCTAAAATGCAATACTTACTCAAACTAGTAGCAGTAGGTAATTTTTTTTATGTACACACGCTCTCGCTTTAATCAAATGGCGATTCTTTGCGATAGAATGAGATGACATGACTTTCAATGGGCAGTTAACACTGTTGGCGATAGTACATACTTACTCGTATTGACCGTATTCACCGTTGTAAGAATCATGATTATTTGTAAAACAGTTGCCAATTTTCAGGAAATTTAATGTTTATGAACAAATCCTATTTAGGATCAATGACGAGTATGAGAAAAATCTATTGTTCCACACATTTTACACACAACTTTTTGTATAAAACAGCTGTTTCTTTTTTTTTAACCGAGGCTTTTATGTATTACTTCTATGTTCTTAATGTAGCCTGCCTAACACTAATAGGTCAAACTACTTTTTACCCAACTGCGCTAGAAGGAGGGTTATTTAAACATAACATTGGTAAATTTAACTGAAAATGTGAACATACATCACACAAAATAGTCGTGTCGATTCGTAGTCAACGTTACTTCGCAATCAGTTTCCAACCATTCGACTATTCCACCGAATGTTTGTGGCAAATGTATGGCCGATGCAAACGCAACCCAATGAAATGCAAATAGCGCCCGTTGAATGTTCGGAATGAGTGAATAAATGGTTTATCAAAGCTGAAACTGTATGGAGAAACATTTAATGCGCTTAAATAACCAGCAGAGCTTGTATTACATGGAGGAAATGTATATTTTATTGCAGAATTACATTTAAATATACCTAGAGACTTATGAGAGAGATGTGTAATTTTTTAATATAATTATAAAAAAACTAGCTTTCCGCCCGCGGCTTCGCCCGCGTGGAATTTTGTCTGTCACAGAAAAACTTTATCGCGCGCGTCCCTGTTTCAAAAACCGGGATAAAAACTATCCTATGTTCTTTCCCGGGACTCAAACTATCTCTATGCCAAATTTCATCAAAATCGGTTGCGAGGTTTAAGCGGGAAAGCGTAACAGACAGACAGACAGACAGACAGAGTTACTTTCGCATTTATAATATTAGTTGGGATTAAGTCTAAAAGCCTTCGGGTCAAATAATTTAATAAGTACTGCATGAAACTCAGTTTTCTAAATTCAAATAATAGCACATATGACTCTAAATCAAAAATATCTTTATTTGATTACACTAACTAAATTAATTCTTACAAATCGTCAAAAAAAATTTTTTTTAATGTAGCTCCCCTACTTCTAAAGTGGGGATAATTTTTCGTCTTCTGCCCCATCGTGTGGGGTATCGTTGGATAGGTCTTATAAAATGGCTTAGGGGTTTCTAAGACTATTTTTCCATTTAGGGATCCGTTTGCAAAATGTTAAAGTTTAAAGTGCCAATTTTTCTCCGAGCAGGGCGTCCCCCCTAAAAACTAAACTGTGTTGGCTTGAAAAATCTAGCAAAATTCGTTATAATACTGCTTTTCATGAACTTTCAAGGAAAATTAAAACGGTTAGGATACATCAGTTAGTTATATAATACATGAGTCATTTGACTCATGTATTATAAAATATTTGTAAATATTTAGTCTATTATGTAGGTTAATTATATGTATTATTCTTATTTTTCTTCTAATATAAGAGCAATATTTGAATAAACTGTTGTTTCTTAACTTGTGAAAATTTCTTACAAGAAAATATTAAATTGCTTGCTTCTGAAATTGATTATGTTAACGACGGACAACAACGGAACCCTACACTGCGCGTGGCACGACACGCACTTGACAAATTTTTTCTATTATACATTATCTACTTATAGTGAAAACCTTTGTGAAAATAGAAGTTAGGTATCAAAGATATTTTCCTACCAATAAAGAATAGCAATAATCTCATTTCCGTAGAGCAAAGCTCTAAAATACAATAAATTCCATTGTGAAAGAGCTTCCAGTATATGAAACAGTTTTCGCAAAGATCCTGCTTCTATTAAAATAAAATGAATTGACTTAAAACGATTGCTATGAATCTTTCATTTTATAGTAGGAATGAGAAAAGGATTCGCAATATGGAGTCGACTGAAGCTTTTGTAATTTTTATAAGGAATATTATTGGCAAAGGTCGAGCATCGTGGTCTTACTCTGTTGAATATGTATCTATGTAGACTTTTCTTCAGTTTGGTACAAACATTTTCATACATTTATGAACGTTATTGTCACCATTGCCGTTTTTGAAGCCTTGAACTGGTAATTAAAAACCAGTAGATTACTTGTACGTGTGTAGTCGTAGTTTGAAATAAATTGTTTTAATATCTCCCAACTGGGTACTGAACCCAGAATTTCAGGATTTTAGAGAGTTCAAATTCTTTTTTATTTCGATAAGATGGAGCTATACTAGTTTTAGGTAATTCTACATGTAATTTTTTATTTGTCCTTATTTTTTAATAAATGTTGTTAGAGTTTTGTTTTAATTAAAATTTAATTACCCTTTGGAATCTAAGTATGAGGGTTTTCACAATAATTGTTTTTGTCTCGTTAACTTTTCCCAGAAAATATATTTCCCAGAAGCCAGATGAGTAATCTACTCAAGATTAACTATAAAAATTGATGTCTTCCTCTGATCCGTTCTCAAATCCTCATTTACGTTTAAGGGCAGGAACTCACAGAAAAATATATTCCTAGACCGGGTTATTATGATTTCTAGGGCCAGATTATAATTGGGCACTTAATTAAAAACTATTTAAAGAGGCACTTACTTAAAAGCTTTGCTGCGGCACCAAGTTTCAAATTATAAATAGTAGGTGTGTAACTTTATTGCATGAAACGAACCCAACCTATAAAGAATGGTAAGAATCTTGTATTTTCTCGCTAAATAACTCTACTTGGTTTTTGCTAAAGAATTATCTGGACTTTTTTATGACCAAAGGTCTCGACGCCAAAATTACTAGAATCTTTCAATAAATAATTACTTAAAAGAGAGCTCCCCCTTAACAGTCCCTCTTTTGATTCCCTTAATCTTACGATATCCCGATATTTTTCCTTGAAAACGCAAAATGAATTTAAATAATAAGCCACGATCTAAACGACTCGGAAATCGTTTGGGTGAGAACGCTTGTTTTTATTTTTTACTTTCATATTTAAATTAAGGAGAATTTTCCGGGCGGATATAATGAGGTGATTAAATCGGCAGTTAGGTAATGCTCTACAGAATTTAATAATTTGGAGTTTTTGGAGTGAGTTGGTGAAAATTCTAAGCAATAAACGTAAAACACAACATCTATACTTATAATAAATCTGTAGAGAGGTCAATTCTGTACATGAAATATATTTTCAAAATAACTATCAGGGTGTGATTAGTGATCGATACTGATGCCAAAAATGCAATCAGTAAAATTTTTGTCTGTCTGTCTGTCTGTCTGTCTGTCTGTCTGTCTGTCTGTCTGTCTGTCTGTCTGTCTGTCTGTCTGTCTGTCTGTCTGTCTGTCTGTCTGTCTGTCTGTATGTTCCTTATAGAAACAAAAACTACTCGACGGATTTTAACGAAACTTGGTACAATTATTCTTCATACTCCTGGGCAGGTTATAGGATACTTAGGAATTCCCACGGGAACGGGGATTAGCGGGAAAATCCTTTTGTATGAAAAATCTAAACCGCTTAAGTTAGACGCTTGAAATTTGGCATGCAGGTACCTTAGTAAACTTAAAGCTTAGTTACTACAGGATATTGCAAAATTCCCACGGGAACGGGAGTTAGCGGGAAAAAACATTTGTATGAAAAAATCTGAACCGCGTAAGATAGATGAAGGGGGGGGGGTAAAACGAGATCCACGCGTACGAAGTCGCGGGCGGCCGCTAGTAGGTAATAATTATAATAATTAAGGATGTGAAAATAGGTACCTACCAAATTATGTGAGTTATATTACAGGCCATGCATGCGGCTGTAAAAAGAAATACTTGCATAGAATTACATAGGTATCTAGGTAAAATACACCAGTGACTTTACAAAAATAACAGGCTTGAAAAATACCTAGTACCTTCAAAACTTTTCAAATGAGATTTTCTGTATCAGGTTCGGACCAGGAAAGTCAAGAACAATACAAGCGAAAACAGAGGTTTCAAACTATTTTATTTGAGCTCTAGCTAGTGCCGGTGCCAGGGTTGATGTATTGAACAATTAAAATTAACCATGAACTACACACGCTAGGGCTGGACAGGTGTCGATAGTTTCAAAGTCGAGGCTCACGCGAACGTGCTATGAGTTTAACAGAACTAATAATAGTTCTAAAAGGAGTTATGCAACCAATTTCGCGGAATTGGCGAATGCAAGAAAATTAGTTTGGTTTTTAACACACGGTTTTTATTACTATTACTGGTATTACTCAGGGTTGCTTTACTTGTTTCTTAGGAGATAAGTAAGTTTTTTTTTCGTTTTCGTAGAATTTATGAGACTAACGATTGAATCTAATGACTGAAAAACTAGCAAACGACCTAACCAAAACAATGATCTATAGAATTTGTGGCTGTAGAGTTAGAAGCTTGACTTTCTATAGTTTCTACATGAGATCTGATAGCTTTCTTCTGACAGTACGAGGTGTATGGCAACATTTTACATGAAAATATGTATAACCCACCATGTCGGTAACTCATATTTTATCGATGGTCGATAGAATGACAGCACTATTTCCGTCGACCGAAATACTCGCCGAGGGCTGGGTTTTTGTGAATGTTTACAGCTCCCGTTTGCGCCTAGCACGGCTATTTGCGTTCGTTTACAAAACTACGCCAAAGAATAACTTAATAGAACAGTTCTTCCTTTGAAATTGAACGAAGTTGGGTTGATCTTGCCTAAAATTGAGTCTTGATTTTCATTTTGTTTGAAGTGTTTACAATATTCAAATCTGTTTCATGAAAGTAATAGCGTCGACTTTGAAAATTCATGGAATTAAAATTTCTATGAAATTCAAGAAAATATATATTTTTTTGCACTAAGCGGAGTGACGATCTGGAGAAGGGCACATGAGGGCAGCGCCGGACCGGTTATTCAGACATTCTTGGACGAGGTACTTGTCCAGCTGTGGACAGCATTTGGCTAAAACAACGACGACGAATTGTTTTCTTTCAACGAATCTCACTCGGGGGAGGATGCGACCTATGATGGAGCGAACTTTCCAAAAAAAAATCCAACTCGCCTTGATTAAGTATCCATTGATTTATTTCTTTTAAATTGCGATCTCCAACCCGCCTGCCAAGCGTGCGGATTATGGCAAAACCCTCCACTATAGTAGAGAAGGCTCATAGTCCAGCAGTGGACTATAAAGGCCTGTTGATGATGATTTTTTTTCTCTCCTTTTTATATCTGCAATCGACTTGGGTCATAATCAGATGTTTTGTCTTGCTTTTTTTTGTGTTCATAAGAAGAGGTATTTCAGTAAATTCTCTCCCTCGGTCTTCACTCAGTCACGTTGATGATGATGATGATTTATTTCTTTTATTTTCCAAGGTGGTGGACATGAGATGGGGTGTCAGAGACGAAGCCACAGACGACCACATGACCACAGAGCTGTGTATGAGGGAGATCAAGAACTGCCAGCGGTTGTCCATGGGACCCAACTTCGTGGTGTTTCTGGGACAGAAATATGGTTACAGGTCAGTCTTTTAGCCAAATGACGTCCACTGCTGGACTAAGGTCTCCCTTAAGGCTTACCATAACGACCCGTCCTGCGCTGCCCACATCCATATTTTTACCGCGACCTTCACCAGATCGTCGGTCCACCTAGTGAGAGGCCTGCCCACGCTACGTATTCTGCTCCAACGGCCATCGTCTCTACAGGTCAGTAATTGAATAAACTATGTATGTGACTAATGGTGAACAAATTAATGTAAAAGGATAAGACTATTAAAATGAATATTTTATGTCGTGAATGAGTTCCTGGAATAAAATTCGTGATCATTTCTTGATTAGTCTGTCTGTACCAAATAGGCAACACAATTCGTAGGTCGTGGAGACCATGCAAAAAGTAATATTTATTAGAGCTCTAAATTGTGCGTACTTGCGCACTCAACTTTTAATTCCTTTAGGACTTTTTAAGCTTCTTTCGTCAGGTAACTTCCCTAAAAATGATATTTTTTGTAAATAGAAAAGACTTATGCTTCTTTACATAGTATAAAACAACGACGTCCAGTCTGTCTTTAAAGGAGATCTGCGCAAAGTATTTAAATGCGGTTTTTATCAATGAATAGAGTGATTCAAGAGGAAATTATTTAATTTGCACCATGGTGAATCCGGGTCTGGTCGCTAGTACAATATTTTATTACATTTTTTCAGGCCCATACCCACCTACGTCCTCTCATCCGAACTCCAAATGCTCCGAGATGAACTTGCAGCGGGAGGAGTCGACGTCATCCTCCTCGACACTTGGTACAAAAAGGACTCAAACGCTGTACCTCCGGTGTCAGTTCTGCAGCCCATCTCATCTATACTGATCAATTTCAACAACAAGGTACATACTGGTCCCGAAATAACCTGTTTTAAGCGTAATTGGTAGGAGTAATTGGGTTTTCAGCGATTCGAGAGTCACTCAAAGGGTGCCAACGGGACCTTACCTAATAATACTAATGATTCTACTGTGTATCTCTCGTATGTCTGTCAAAACTTACGTTCTCTCACTGTATCTCAAAAATACGGGATTATTATCACTTACTCTCACTGCTGCAGCTCCTAAGTAGTCAGTTTCTACAGCTAAGATAGGTACTAAACAGCATCTATTTATCAAAGTATTTTTTAAATGTGCACAATATAAACATCTGTAAATCCTACTCAAGCGTTAGTTACAGCAGCAAGAGCAAGAGGTGAGAATAGTCAGGTCATTTTTTTAAAAATAAACCATGAATTTCCGTAGCCTGATGATTGAAAGGGAAAGATTAACCGGCTATAAGACCTAAGACCGATCTGAACTTAATACATTTCGTTTTTAACTTTTTAACAAATTTCTTCAAGAATGATCCACCGACTTTGGGTACAAATTTAGAAAGAGCAAGTAAACTTGAACCATTTCTTTGAATTCCTTTTCCAGAGAGTACCAAAACTCCAAGCAGAGGACCAGGCAGTCTGGTGGGACACGCTGTGCAAGATGCAGAAGCTGTTTCGCAAGGCCTCGTCCCAGCTGTACGCTGCTGGCAAGATGGATAAAGACGCCATGCACAACTACTTTATGTCTGGTAAGTTTACGTAGTCTACCTCGGACAAACGATTCAGCTAGGTAGGAGGTCCAATTTCGAAAAAGAGGTCAATCGTCGAATCCAACTCGGCTGGGTAGCGTTCGGGAAACTACGCAGCATCTTTTCGTCCAAAATACTATATACATGCCTGAAGACGAAAGTCTACAACCAATGTGTGTTACCAGTGATGACTTATGGTTCGGAAACGTGGCCTCTCACTATAGGCCTTATACAGATTGAGATGATGATGATGATGATGAAAGGAATCGTATCGTATTAGCAAGTCTTCTCGTGTTAGCGTTGGCGATCACTTACCATCAGTTGTCCTCTTAGATGACAAGAGAGTACTCTCAGGCACTCTCTACGAAAGATATAAACTATAATAAGTAAAATAATGATAATGATAAAATATTAATGCTACTGGTGATGATGATGATATTTCCATTCCAGTGACGGAGCGCGAAGTAATCAACGGGGTGCTCAACGTAAAGAACACCAAGAACCATTGCTTAGCCTACGTGCGGTACATCAACAACATCAACCTTCAAAACCTGAAGAAGGCCAGCAATTTCGTGGACATCCTCAACAGGAGTTTGGATTCGGAGGCATCTAAGCTGCTGGCAGATTTGAGAGACGTCAGACTGCCAGAGAAGATTGAGACGACTAATATACAAAAGTGAGTTAAGTGTATTGAAAATAGACAAATAGGCTTTTATAAAGCGCTTTTAAAATTGAGGAATGGGAGGAAAGATGAATAGCACTGGCACACATTGTTGTCCTGAAGCAGTGGTAGAGTTTAACAGGGACGTCAAAAAGAACTTTTTAATGGGGCAATTTATTAATTTTTAGAGCCTTTTCTAGAATACGTTCATAACATCAGTGAGACAAAATTTTGAATAGTCAATCTCTTTTATGATAAGTAATTTGTTCCCTTCTTGTTTTGTGTGCTGTGCAATGTAGTGTTGATGTACTTATTTGTCCTTCTTTAGAATATTGCTAATATCCTACTTTTTTAATATGATTGTGTTAAGAGAAAGTTCACTATAATAGTCCAGCAATCGACAAAGATCTTATTAGCAGTAGCCAACTCAAGGATTTTTGACTGCCAATGTCCAATTCGACGTCGAAAACTTTATTCTATAGTCGCCTAAATTTTTATCATCAACTTTTGTTAATAATTGAAGGGGTGAGTGGACAAAGGTCTTAACTAACAAAATGAGTTATTAGTGTTTGAAAATGTTAATCTGCTCATACCACATTTGAATCCTGAAATGTATGAATGCTTGTCAGATAACACCTTTGTTAAGGTTTGACACGTAACAAAATTGCGTGTTTTGAGCTCATTAGTCAATTTTATCATCACTTTTGTACCAAACTCAAGTCCCCAAAAGACAGGACTACCTAGTTTGGGGACTACCAGTAAGTCACCTGAATTCCTATTAGTTTAACTACTTTGTAAGCATATGTAACTAAAGTGCATTTTTCTGGAAATAAAATTTATTATTATTATTCTCTTTATTAACTTTGGTTCTTAATTTTAAATATTTTTTTACAATGTAAATTATCAAAAAAAATAAATAAAAATACATTATAAAAAAATACTTAAAAATAGTTATTCCGCTGGTAGCGGAGCAGGGCCCAAGCTACCGGTGGTCAGGGTCACAGGCTGAGGAACCTCCGGACAATGCGTGCCGTGCTGAGGATCACCGCCTTTTGCATCTGACCCTTGAGCCAACCATCCAGCGAGAGCTTCTTTAGATGTTGGTCGAAGCTCTTCGCTATTAGCCCGTTTGCCGAGACAACTATCGGGACAATGATCGTCGAGTCAACATCCCACATGGCGGTCACCTCGTGGGCCAAGTCAAGGTATTTGCTTTGCTTTTCCTTCTCGGCCTTCACGAGGTTTTCGTCATGCGGGATGGTAATGTCAACGAGCATTGCCCGACGTTGGGATCGGTCAACCACCACAATATCAGGCTTATTACAGACAATAGTCCTGTCTGTGATGATAGAACGATCCCAATAGAGCAATGCATGACCATTTTCGAGAACTGGCACCGGCTGGTATCGGTAATAAGGCGTCTCAGATTCAAGAAGGTCGTACTGAAGAGCAAGTTGCTGATGGATGATTCTGGCTACTAGGTTATGCCTGNTCAGTCTCGCCGAATATGTTACCTTTTGTAAGCCAGGTGGATGATGCAGATTGGTCGACGTGATCTTGTTCTAACTGATGTGGATACCTGCCATGTAGTGCTTTTTTCTTCCAGTTTTCTATTTTCTGTTCGTCTTTGAGCATTTTCAGTTTTGGGTCGTATTGGATATTGTTCAGTTGAAGGGGTGTTCCGGCGTGGGGGAGGGTTGTTATTGCTTTGTGTAGTTTACTGTCATTGGCTTTTGTGAGAAAGTATTTACGGAGATTATCTATTTGGGTGTAGTGTAGGTTTTTTATGTCTATGAATCCGCGGCCTCCTAGTTTCCTTTTTAGGGTGAATCTTTGAACTGCTGAGTGGATATGGTGAATGTTGTGTTTATTGCTGGCTGTTCTGGTTGCGGTATTAAGAGCTTCTAATTCAGTGTCTGACCATTTAACGACTCCAAAGGAGTACGTCAAAATGGGTATTGCATAGGTGTTAACAGCTTTTATTTTGTTTCTTGCAGAGAGTTGAGTTTTGAGTATTTTATTGAGCCTCTGTTTGTATTTAGTTTTAAGTGTAGTTTTAATATCTGTATGATTTATTGATGTCGACTGTTGGTACCCTAGATATTTGTATGTCTCTTTCGGATCCATGCTGTCTATTGAGCCCCCTTGTAATTCTAACTCAAATGATTCTGTTTCTTTATGTTGGCCTTTTATGATGCTGTTAATTTTACACTTGTTGGTACCGAAAGTCATCTTAATGTCTGTGCTAAATTTTTCAGTCAGTTGGAGTAGGTGGTTGAGTTGTTGTCTATTGGCTGCGTAGAGTTTAATGTCATCCATATATAGCAAGTGTGTGAGTTTGATATCATTGTCTTTGTCTATTGTGTATCCGAAATCAGTTTTGTTGAGGATCCTGGAAAGAGGATTTATGGCTAAGCAGAACCACAAAGGGCTGAGAGAATCACCTTGGAAAATTCCGCGCATAATTTTTATGGGTGTTGTAGAGAGTGTGGTGTTACTAGTTCGTATATTAAGTTTAGTGGACCAGGTACTCATTGCGTATTTTAAAAACTGTATGAGTGTATTGTCAACCTTGTAAATTTGAAGGACATGTAAAAGCCATGTATGGGGAACACTATCAAAAGCTTTTTGGTAGTCAATATATGAGTAGAATAGGTTTCTGTGTTTTTGTTTGACTTGGTTGTGTATTTCAGTGTCAATGACTAATTGTTCTTTACATCCCCTAGATCCCTTACTGCAACCTTTCTGTTCTTCGGATATAATTTTGTTTAGGTTAATGTGTGAATTCAGTTTGTGTGAGATGATGGATGTGAGAAGTTTGTAAATAGTGGGGAGGCATGTAATCGGTCTGTATTTTGTAGGGTTGGTTGTGTCGTTGTCTTTAGGTTTCAAATATGTAATACCTTGTGTTAAAAAGGTGGGCAAATCTTGTGGGTTATGGACGATATGGTTGAGTGTTTTTGCGATATGTTCATGTGTTGCAGTAAAATATTTAATCCAGTAGTTTTGTATTTTGTCTGGTCCTGGAGCTTTCCAGTTTAGAGTTTTATTTATCGCTTGTGTTATTTATTTATGACTATTTCCGGCATTCCGGTTTTGTCGTCTTTATTTATGACTATTTCCGGCATCACATCTATGTTTTCAGTCTCTTTTTCTTCAATGTCAACCCAAGATGAGTGTGGATTATGTTGAACCGGTTTTGACCACACATTCTCCCAGTATTTTTGGACGTCGTCTACATTAGGTGGGTGAATGATTTTAATCTGTTCTGCGTTAAGATTTTGATAGAATAATTTCTGGTTATTACTGAATAGAATATTGTCTTTTTTCCGTTGGTTGCTTGTTTTCAGTCGTCGTAATCGTTTAGAGTAAGCTTGTAATTTTTGTTTGGTGGTATCAAGGCGGTCAATTAATTCATTTCTGCAGGCATTGTTAGGGTTTAGTTTTCGTTGCTTTTTCTGTGTGAGATTTCCATTTAGATATTGAGTTAGGCGGCCTATTTCTTTACGTAGTTCTGTAATCTTCTTTTCTATCCGTATTTCCCACTGCGGCTTATTTTGACCTGGTGTTTTATTGGTTGCATTGTTGTCCTTTTGTGTCGTTTGTTTAGCATGGATGGTAGTTACAGTTTTTGCTGCGCTGTATATAATATCATGAATTTCTTCCAATGTAACTGTTTCTTTTGTTTTTAAGTGTTCTTCTATTATGATGTTAACCGTATTTACTGCTTTTATCACATTTCGAGATGTCTGGAGCTTAGGTATGGCTGGTCTGAGAGTTGGATTCGTACCTGTATATTTAATAAGCATTTCCATGAAAACATTTTCGATTTTATTGAAGTTTATTGGCTCTGATGTTCTGGTTGGCAGTTCAGTATCCGTCGTTTGTATATGTTCCGTGGTTTCTAGCGCTTGAGATATACCTGTAGAAGCATGTTGTGTAGTATTTGTTGATGTATTTTGTAGGCCAGGGGTATGCATGTCTATTGTAGATTGTTGATCATCGTTTGGTAGCGAGTCGGACTGGGATTGTTGTACGGCACCATTGGTGTTATTGTGTTCGATTAGATTATCTATAATTTGATTGGTAGTTACCGCAACTGATTGTTTTAGATGCTCTCTTTCAGATATTGGTATTCTATTATTTCTATGTATGACACGAATCTGATCTGCTAGTCGTTGTTCAGATAGATGGCTTAATTCTGGGAAAGTTTCTATGAATTTTTGATGTAACAGGGGTCTGTATGCTGTCATATCCGTTTCACAAAGTGTGACTATATAGTAGCAACGGAGGAGTTCTTTATTAATTGGGTAAGTCCATTTCATCCGTTGTCTACTTTTGCCAGCTAGGGTGGTTGCGGGAAGCATGTCCTGCAAAACACTTCTTGCTGGTGTGGTGGTAATAGAGGTGGACGCGTGTGTGTTATGGTCTGCGTAGGTAGGTGAGTTAATTTGTATTGTACTCGCAGAGTTGGTGATGTCAGGGGTGGGCGCAGGAGAAATAGCATAGGCTTCCTGTGCAACATCGTCTGACATAGGTGATGTTGTAGTCGATCGCGACGATGGATGTCGGAGTAAGTAAGACTGTGGAGACGAGTCAGGAGACTCGAATAAGCTTCTGGATGAAGAACGCGAGATGGTAGTGCGTGTTGTTGGTGAGTTGTTTGCTGCAACAGTACTAGACTGGGCAGTATTAAGCGATACGTTGCCCCCCTCAGATACGATGGGGCTGCCCGAACCTTGTGGTTCAGGGCGGGATTCCCTCTGTTGAGGACCCGCCTGAGGAATTCTTCTGTTTCTGAGTCGCATCGCATAATAGTTACACTATTGCACCGTTGGTCACTGGTAAGTAATTTGCTATAAGCAGCCAGTGTCCGCCCCCCACGTGGTAACAGATGGTCGTACCGGACGTGGTGTTAGGTTTGCAGGGGGCTTATTATTATTATTATTATTATTATTATTATTACTTAAAACCTATGTTCATGCAAAAAAGTAGATTTTTCAGTTTTGTCAGATAACACCTTTGTCCACTCATAATAAATGTTGTTTTTCAAAGTTATGTGTACTTTTTTCAGATACACAGTCGAGTGGATCGGCCGAGAAGGTCTGGACAACGAAACCCACGGAGAATACCTCAACCACTTTATTACCCATTTCTACAAGAACATCATCAAACTTGTAGACCGGTACGTGACTATCTTTATTTTTATTTATTAAACGCCGCTGTTTGGGTGGGAATAACATATTTTCTAAATATTCTTTCCCTTGTGGCTTAAGTAATAAATGAGCGTAGACTTAGAAATACCTAGTTTATGTTAGCCCTGTGTAATATTTATTACCTATTTATTCACGCCTAGTGTACCTACATAGTACCTACCTATAGTTAGTACCTACACATTTGATAAAATACAGAAACTAAAAAGAAATAAACCGCAATGTCATATTATTAAAACAAAAACGTTTTTGTACGCAGGACATCCACCCACAATGTGGATCGAGTCTGAAGTTTTAAAGGTTGTAGAAAGCCGCTGAATATAGCCGTTCAGCAAGGAACTTCCTATGACTGAAATGATGATGATGATGATGAAGCTTGTGTCTGTTATAAAGGACTTGCTCAGTGCCTGTGGTATGGGAAAGGCACGGGAGGGTGACATATCAGAGCCTAAGAGTAGGCGCACACCGCTGATTTTTCGTCGGCCGATAGTTTAGTCGGGCAGTTGATCAGTATGGGCATGTATGGGAGTGCGCACACTACGCCGATTCGATTTGGCCGATTTTTCATACAAATTAAAATCGGGCAAAACTATCGGCCAACTAAAAATCAACGGTGTGCGCCTACTCTAAAAGTCTGAAGCTGGCTGGTCTGGTCTGCCTGACGGTAGACGTCACAAAAATACCCTCCCGTGCCGCTCTCATACCTCAGGCACTAACTAAGCGCTTGATCTAATCCCAAACTGTGCGTCACGACGCCCTGGGGATGGAGCAAAGCTATGCTCAGAGAAGTAAGTTGTAAATGGCAAAGACCCAAGGGCGCCTCGGTAAAAAATGGGAATTCCTGATAAATAATTTACGGATATAGTTAGATCATATTTTCATCCACGAAGACGCGCTCCACCATTCTTCCGCTAATGTTTGAGTGTTATCGGTACACGCTAAATCAATCATCCATGAGTGCACACGCACACTACAGTAATGACGCTCGTATTGCTCGGATCAAACTCACCGCACCCCGCGCTTCCCTCGACCAAAAATTGGTGGGCTTCATGGATGAAACGATCTATAAATGGCTCTTAAAAGTTAATCTTCCATTTTCTACTCCCAGAGCAATGCGTAAAGAAGACAGCAGCGCCCAGGGCCAGATCGTGACGGAGATCCTTCAGCACCTGCATGCCTGCAACAACTCCGTCAAGGTAAGAATAAGAATAAGAATATTTTATTTCAGTAAAAAGTATACAGTACACTGCCTTATATCATTAGGAACATTATCAGTTGTAGCTAAACATTATATTGTAAATGAGTACAAACATTATCCAGTAATTATTGAGGAGTAGGTACAAACATGTTGCAATATGGGGTACGGTGTGAAGCCGCCGATTTTCCCTAGGTAGGTATTAGTTNCAGTAATTATTGAGGAGTAGGTACAAACATGTTGCAATATGGGGTACGGTGTGAAGCCGCCGATTTTCCCTAGGTAGGTATTAGTTTATTACAATAGGCTATGTCCATTATTATTTCTATTTTATTTTAATTTTAAGAACTACTTAATCTGTATTATCTATAAAAGCGAGCTTGAAAATTTTCATTTGTTTTAATTTACAGGTAGCAATTTTCTAAATTTTTCTTATAATAGGTGATTAATGTTGTCTCAGTCTGTCCAAAAAATTATAAAATCGGTATCTCCAAAAATCGAAGCAAAGTTCACTAAAAGATCGCAAAAATGTTTGCAAAAAAATTTGTTTCCTTTAAATTTCCCATACAAAACAACAATATCATACCACAACACTAATTAATTATTATGGTTAACCACGTTAAGGTGTTCCACGGCAGAGACGACGATTTGAAGTTCGTGGAGAACTACATGAAGAACAACTCTGAGAAACCTCTTGTGCTGTATGGAGAAGGTAGGTAAATCTTACTTAGTGGTAGTTGAAGAATGGTCAAATGGTCAATGTGGAAATGATTGGGGAGGCCTATGTTCAGCAGTGTACGTCCGACGTCCTATGGTGATGATGATGATGATAATGATAAAGATGATGATGATGATGAAGTGAACTTGAAAAAAGTTGGGGAAATAAAACCAATTAATGGAGGACCATAGTTTTTGTTTGTTTCATTGTTCATCACTGAGGAACAAAGCTCATTATATCTTTCCAGTGTCCACCAGTGGAAAAAATTCTGTTGCGTCTTCTCCCAAAGCCGAATTACTAACAGACATTGTTATTGACATTGAAATTGTTCATAATATTTCTCATCCCTCAAATGTCCTATGACTCCAGGTGGCTGTGGCAAGACCAGTCTTCTCTCCAAGAGCGCAGCCATGTGCCTGGACACCTGGTTCGCCGACGTCCGCCCTACCAATATCATCAGGTTTCTTGGAACCACTCCAGATTCCAGTGCTCTGACTCCTACGCTGATATCCATTTGTCAACAGGTAATGTTTGAGAAGACTAGAAAAGTAAGAGAGCTTGTAACTTCAAGTAATATTTTAAGAAGATGATGATCCATCCATTTGCTTCTAGTAATTTAGACAGGGTCTTCCTGGACAATGGAGGCTAAATGACCTGTGGGTTGAGTGTGAGTTTACATCAAAAGTCCTCAATAGTGAGCGCGTTAAAAAAATTTATGAAAATTTTTGTTCTTGAACGTTTCCGCTAGGGGCGCTGTATAATCCGTCATACATTTAGTATCATTTTTTTACGCGCTAACTAGCGCATTTGATGTATACTCACGCTATACATCATCGTACCTATAATAATAGTTATAGGTAGATAAGATTTTTTCATGAGGCACTAAGTGAAATTCTATAAGGCCTGGAGCTATCTTGAAATGATTTAGATTTTATATTCGTTCGTTTCGTTTCAGCCAAATGACGTCCACTGCTGGACAAAGGCCTCCCCCAAGGTTTTCCACAATGAACGGTCCTGCGCTGCCCGCATCCAGGCTCTTCCCGCGACCTTTACCAGATCGTCGGTCCACCTAGTAGGAGGCCTGCCCACTGCCTGTATTTTATATTATTTCAAAGAAACCTCTTTTTCTAGATATCATACAACTTCGCTCTACCCTTCGAGGGGATCCCAGATGACTTGGTGCCCCTCACGGCACACTTCAAGCAGTTGCTGACGATGGCCACACAGCAGCAGCCACTGCTGCTCTTCATGGATTCGGTTGACCAGCTGACTGGAATTGGCACTGAAAATAACAAAGTATCGTGGCTTCCAACAAGATTACCGCCGCATTGCAAGGTAAAATAATGACGTAATCATGATCCTCGTTAATGGTTAGGGTTAGAACGAGTAAAAATGTACGTATGATCTTCGTCTACCTAACTCGCACATACCTGCGTTTCTACTACCTTATAGAAACGCTAAACTAGAAGTAAGCACCAGCCCAAAATAATAGTGTTAAGGCAAGATATATTGAGCATGTAGTAGGGTCGTCTGTAGGCCAAGAATAAAATAATTTGAATTAAGACTGAAACGCAGCCGATGTGAATGCGATACAGCGTAGTACCGTACGTTCCACCACTATACAAAACATACTTCTTTTCCCTTCTTCTTCGCTTCATGTAGCTATATCCTAAGGAGTCTATACCATTTTATTCTTAGATAATAGTGACCTGTGCTCGCGAGGAGGCCAACCCTGAGGTGTCGAAGGAGTACGAGGTGTTGCGGCGCATGATAGACTCCGACGAGAACTTTCTAGAAGTCACGGCACTTGGGGAGGAACTTGCTATGCAGGTGTTGAAGTAAGTTACTTCGTTTTATATTCTTCAAAAAGTCTTGCCTTTATTTTGAATATTGATAATACTCATCATTCATTTTAATAACTAGGACAAACAGTTTACTTAAATTCTGTAAGTATTTATGAGAGTCCAGAACAGACATTTCTGGGATCTTCGGCATGTAACTAGAAGGGTTATTACTCTGAACAAGAAGCTATTCCAGCTTCAAAAGCAGCAGCACGAAAGCAATAGCTCCAAGAATATGAAAACTAGCTTTAATGTAATCCCAGTAGCTTTTGCTGAAGCTTAAAAAGTCATTGCAATAGTCCCACAGCTTATTGAATATGATTCTCTTTTTCTGTAGATTATGGATGGCATCAGCTGCTCGCGACTTGAACAATTACCAGTGGAGGCTGGTCTCCAACGCCATCGCCTCTTGTTCTCTGCCCATCTTCGTCAAGCTGGTTTTTGCTGAGGTATCCGTCATGTCACTTAGCCTGTTGACAGTCATAAAATTTTCATTGTTTTTGGATCTTAAGACAAGTGAATAAGATTCAAAATATGGTGGGAATTATATTCCCACTGCTTTATTAAAGATTAAATTAATCTCTAACCAAAGGATAATTTGCTAATCGTTATGTTTATTCAGGTATGCAGATGGAGAAGCTATACCAAACCCACGGACACTCATCTAGCATCAACTGTTATGGACTCCATCATGATGCTATTTGAAAGGATTGAAAAGCAGGTGAATGGTTATTATAGTCTCCAGTTCTCTAATCATTCAATTTGCGTATGTACCTACATTTTCCCAACCCGTCTGGCCAGCGTGGAGAGTGTAGAGTGTTCCTCTAGGTAAGTAAGAGAAGGGCCTTCTCTGGCAGTGGAGACTAAATGACCTGATGATGTTGAAACAAGACACCGAATAAGTAGCCAACATTACAAACACAAAAGATGCCACAATATTTAGCTTCATGCCCCTCGTCTGTACCTTATTATAGAAAAACTGTTTTCTTCCACAGCATGGCCGTCTACTGGTCTTCCACGCTCTGGCGTACATCACAGCAGCTCGCAGCGGCCTGTCGGAGACAGAACTTGAAGATCTGATCAGTTTAGATGACAAAGTGCTGGATGATGTGTACCAGTACCATCTGCCTCCTGTGAGGAGAATCCCTCCTTTACTGTGGACCAGGTGAGCGCTATTATAATGGCGAAACATCCAAATAACACCATAGTTATTTGCCCGACACTTTATTTTCCTTGATATTCTTTGCCTTAGTTACGAGAATTGTAGAGGAACTTATACGTCTTGTGCATAGATTGGATATCATGCAATTTAAACTATTTCAACTCCTCAGAATCTAAGTGCCCTTTTTAATTACAACGGGTAAGCTCTTGGCCTGCATCTCACCTGATAGTGAAGATCAGGCCGAATGGTGGAAGCGAGCTTCACCCAGAATCCTCAATTTCAGAGGAACTATCTTTATTACCTCGGACTGCTAAAACATTTTTGCTATGTTACCTCCAAAAACTTTATAGGTAAGGTAAACGGCTACTAGTTCGTGATAGTACGTAAGTTCGTAAGTTTTTTTTTCTAGCTCAAATAATAAGCAAATGGAATATTATTTATAAAAATTCTTTATTACTACAAAAACTCTATTATTTAAGCTATCTAAAAAACCAAGTACCAACATTGTTGCGCCAAAAATGAGAGCAATACGAAGCTTCAAACTCTCAGAGAGCCAAAAACGGCCGTGCGGCTTGCAAAGGTTGCTCTCATCGTAAGGTTAGCACTCCAACTTCTTAAGCTTATAAAAAGGCAAAGGAACGTCCATTTAAATAAAACTTGTAATAGTGGTTTCATGTGTTCCTTGACAATTGATTTGGCTTAGAAAAAAGTTATATGAAAACGTAGAATTCCTTTAAAATTGCGATTAATTGACTCACGAAATAGCGTACATATTATTTTTCGGGTGTCCCCTATTTCGTGACACTACCGATTCAAGGATATTATGGATAACATTTTGATGCTTGGTTTTTAAATAATTATTTATGATAATTTAAATGTAAGTTATGAAACAAATAATGCATTTATTTAAGTTTCTCATGACCTAAATTCGGTATATGTTTCGTTCACTAGAATTTATATGACACGAGTCTGAAGTTCACATACTTGACCAATTTTAAGATAAATTAGCATAAGTACTACCAGCATAATTTTGGTTTTATTTCGATTTGTTTTATTTATCTTTGTTTATTTGTATTGTATATGGGATAGATAATAGTTAATTGACACATTTTGACAATAATCCATGAATTTTACTTGGGGAATTTGGAATAATCAGTATCCCGAAACAAGGAACCGTATTATTGTTACTTTTTTCCAAGTTCGTGATATATAAATGTATGGTGTTAGGTACTTTTATGACACACACTATCAAAGAAATCGACATATTTTTTAGTTTTTAATACTTACCCACCTAAGAAATTAGTTAATTACTTACTTTTTATTATGAGTCATTGGCGTATCTGGGGTTATTTTCAGGGGGGGGGGGGGCTACCCTCTCTTGAAACAGCTCCAGGGGTGGGATTATGGGGAGAAGGGGGGGGGGAACACAAATCAAAATTATATGGGTACGAAGGGGGGGGGGTAAATCCCCCCCACATTTCTAATGGTTAATATAAATATTTTTACATATCGCTAGAAATAACAAATCTAACTTTTATGGGTATGAGCGGGGGGGGGGGGTTAAGTTACCCCCCCCCCTGCATTTCTAATGGTTATATGAATATTTTCACATATTGTTAGAATTAACAAATCAAAATATTATACTACACTCCCATTATTTCTTATGAATATTTCAGGTAAATAATATCGTCAATTTCACATAATTATTTTATTCTAAATTTTTACTATCGTTTTTAAATTTATTAAAGCCTTAATCATTATTAAAATATCCTAACTGTATGCATAAAACCTTATCCCGAAATAGGGGACATGAGTTCACGAACTTAGAAACAGAGCAAAATTTTGTCACGAAACAGGATCCAAACAAGAGGTCCGCAGAACAATTAATATAAAAAAAAGTTCAAACTATATAACTATAAATTATGTATTAACTTACTGTCAAAAGACCAAAGTTTAGCATACAAAAGCTTTCATACTGATATCATGCTTGGTTATTTTTAAATAAAATGTTAAAGTCGTAGGAGCCTTAATATACCGAAGTAGGGGGCACTTACCTTATGTATCGTCACTAACTTTGCAGAATCCGCAACGATCTAAACGAGCTTTACTAAGAAACCTCGAACTACGAAACAATGTAATTTCCGTAAAACCTGCCAAAGCTTTTACTCATTGGTATCGTCACCTGTTTTCCAGAATCCGCAACGATCTTCCCAACTACTTGTCTGAGCGCGAAGCAGATGGGGTCTCCGTGATGAACTGGTACCACAGGCAGTTCCGCGACACAGCGCGCGAGAGGTACTTCAAGAATATGAACATGGCCATGTACTTTCACTCCATGATCGCTGACTATTATCTTGGTAAGTTGATCATACTCTGCCGTCTTAAAAAAACTTTGATTCTTCAAATGTACGCACATCTTTTGTTATCATAATATGTTATTAGAAAAGTAAGTAGGTATGCCGCTAGGGCAGAAAAAATCTCGGGTGGCGACCACAAACCGGAAGACGTAGTGTGGGCAGGTGAACCTACCTATGTGCTCCAACTAAAGCAAAATAAAGAATGGCTTACGAAAAAACAGCTGTAAGTTCAAACTTTCAGTAATAGCTTGCAGCGTCGGACTGGCCATACAGTCAGGGTGGCATTTGCCAGCCGGGCCCCAGCCTGCGCGGGCCCCCCACGGCCTGGGTTGCGGGGCATGCGGCAACCGTAGCACAGAGGGCCCGCGCAGCGTGGCCCCTGTGCTACGGTAGCCCGCGTGCATGTCTCGGAAACTATGCGTCGTACAAAAAAATTGTACAGTCATAATTTGTAGAAAATTGCTTTGCCTACAAATATGTTAATATAAATTTTTGCCTTAAATTAAAGATTGAAGAAGTTACAAAAAAAATCCTTTTTGCTTATGTATAACTTCTCTAATTTAATTTAGGACAAAAAGTTATGTAAACACAGGGCCTTCTTTAACCTACTAGGGGCCCTGGGCACTTACGGATCAAGGGGGCCCTTGTCATCTAGAAGAAGGTATTTTGAGACGGACAGACGGGGGCCCCCTCCGTCGCGGGGCCCTGAGCACGTGCCTAAAGTGCCCAGTGGGAAAGAGGGCTTTGACCATTTATGTTTCTTTCATGATGCCCAGGCCTTCATTGGTTGGATTTTTGGCAGTCAACCAGTAGATACTCACATAGAATCCTGAACTATAGAACAAAGCTACAATACCGAACGGTGAAGATGTCAGACTGGCCGACTCGGGGTCCAAGGAACACTGGTTTGAACCCCGCCGCGCCGCTGGACTATTGTGGGGAAACCACTCGTCACAAAAACATAATTTAGCTAAGCGCAACGCTCTCCACGGCATTGATGTTGAGATCAGGTCAACCTGATCTTCTGGCTGTTCCGCAACCACAATTACTTGGCCGACAAGCTGCACGAGCTCAACCCTTGCTGGGGCGACGAAAAAGTCTCGATTTCATAAAAAAGGAAGTGTATTTGTACGGCGAACAATTGGGAAATAAATTTTCTTGTTACTGGTATCATTCCCGTATTTAATTTTTGAAAGCCAAATTCAAGCAAAATACGCGTCGAATCGTAGTGCTTACTTATGAAATGTAACACTGGTCACTTTCTTTAGTTTTTCTGATGTATTTAGACACCCTTTCACAGCACAAACCGTCTTAATTAATTAAAAGTCGTCGGACGTGTTTTCCAATTTTTCACTTTGACAGTTCATGTGACGTTTACGAGTAAGCCATTCTGGCTTACTAAAATCTGCCTCACCTTTCGTGCACTGACTATCTATCTAGGTTTTATTAATCTAAGACCTTACCATATTACGCATCGATAGCGACAGTTTAATTGATGAACAAAATAGTATTGATAAGTGGCCAGCTTTTGGGTCCAAAACTGACAATTCAAATCACTGTCAGTCANTTATTATTACTTGATTTTAGCAATTCTGCGAGCTGTGTCAGTCACTTTAGTTCTCCTGCGGATCTCCTCATTCTAATTCGATCACGCAGGGAAACTGCGAGCGTAGCCCGCTCCATCTAAATTATTAATTACGGGACTATTCCCACCTCTCGTTCCCACCACTGCAATTCCTGTGTAGCCAGGATCTACAGCTCCACAAAAACCCAACCAATGAAGGTCAAGTTTGTCCCGGGGGAAAGTTAAACTGTCATTGGACCCGCAACGAAATTAATTAATCAGAAGAACATAGGAGGAGTTCGAAATTATGCTAGTAGAATTTGGTTTTTCCCAGAAAGACGTTATCGCGCGTGTGTTTCAAAAACCGAGATTAAACAGGTTCTTCCCAGCTCTATCTAAATTACTGTTTCACATCATAACAACTTGATTTTTATAACAAACTAGCTGACCCGGCGAACTTTGTTCCGCCTTAATGGCAATAAATAAGCAGACTTTTTTTTTAATTTCGAACGGGATAAAAAGTATCCTATGTCCTTCTCCTGGCTCTAAACTACCTCCCTGACAATTTTCAGCTAAATCGGTTCAGCCGTTCTTGAGTTATAAGTGGAGTAACTAACACGACTTTCTTTTATATACATATATAGACAATTCGCCGAATTCACGTACCGGACTACTATGCCAGAGGCCAGAGGCCAGAGGCCAGAGGCCAGAGGCCAGAGGTTCGTGAGTTCAATCACAGCACAGCCTGTCTTGTAGTTGTATCAGATCCAAAACTAAAATATAGTATAGTATAGTATTTTAAATCTTGGCATTTGATTAAAATAAAGCCTTTTCAAAAATAGGCCATAAGAGTTCACACTTCTAATATTACGAGTATGTGGCTTGCATACATTTAGTATGGAAGCTGGAAACATTACATTTTCAGGTAGATCCAGTTTATTCTGTAACCTATTATTGTTGCCTGAAAAAAAAATTAAAAATTGGAACCGACGACTTGGCCCGTGGACCAAGCTAAAAGTGGGCCAAGTTGCTGGAACACTCGTATAGCTCAGGGACCCCCCATATTATGTATGCAAAGACCCCTCACAGCTCAAGGCCCCTTAGGGGGTCCGTAATGCTTTAGAAATTACTAGTACCTACTCGAACTGAACCAGCACGCAGTTCCTTCACACATAGCATTTATAGAAACCTCCCTTGCTCTACCAGTTTTTACAACGGTATGTAAGCCGTACTTAGTAGTTAACGAGAAGGTACATAGTCATACATTAAAATAAAAAGAGTCTTTAAGATTTCGTTTAAAAGGCAGTAAATGTTAATAAACAATTAATTTTTATTGCTTACTAGTAGTTTGTTTTCTACAATTTATTGTTTAACAAATTATGTGCTCGCCGCGACTTTGTATTTGTTAAAATTATTTTCTACCCCCGTTTATCTACTAAATTGTATTATTAAAACCAGTTAAAACCTGGTCTTTTTATAAATAAACTAGCTGACCCGGGGAACTTCGGACCTCCTATGTTCATCAGAAATAATGTAGGATTGTAATGATTATAAAAAATCTATTAAGTCTACCGGCTCCCACTAGGTGGACCGACGATCTGGCGAAGGTCGCGGGAGGTGCCTGGATGCGGGCGGCGCAGGACCGGTCTTTGTGGAAATCCTTGGGTACCAGTGGACGTCTTTCGGCTGAAACGAACGAAAAAATTTACTAGTCTTAACACTGTGAAATTTTCAGAAAACTATTTCAAGAGTTTTTATCTTTCAGACTAATAAAGCATCATCGAAATTGGTTCACGAATCTTGAAAATTTCTGCAAATAAGCTTTTAAAAAACACTTTTACACGTCCCAGTATTAACCCTACCACTGCTTCGGGACAATAAATGGGCCAGTGCTGAGAAGAAGCAGCGCAAGAAACTCAGCCACTATTGAAGTTGAAAAAGACAATATTTCAAATTTTTTTAAGGATTCTGAAAATGTTATTTTTTCCATTCATTCCCCAAACAAAAAAGATTGTTTCAAATCGACCCAGGCGTTTTGGAATGATCAGAAAACAAACATAAAAAACTTTGCCGAATTGAGAAACTCCTTTTTTCAGTCGGCTAAAATGCAAACGTACATATACATACATATACAATGAATGAAGTTCCTGTTGATACGCAAATTATACTATAGTCTCTACTAGCCAATTAAAACCTATTATACTGTTGTGGACATCCATTACACTTGACCTTGACAATTGATGGCCAGACAAGGAAAATTTTGAAGTTAAAAAACGCTAATTCGTTCGTTCGTTTCAGCCGAATGACGTCCACTGCTGGACAAAGGCCTCAGTTTCCACAAAGACGGCCGGCATCCAGGCACCTCCCGCGGAAAATTATGAAGTTAAAAAACGCTAATGTGCTTTTAAATATATGACCGACGATGACTCAGTGATTTGTGAAAAATAGTTTTGTCAAAACAATTGAGCATCATAATTTATCTTCAAATACCTAGCGCTTAATTGACTCAGTGCCTGGCACGGCACGGGAGGGTGTTTTTGTAACGTCAAACGTCAGCGAGACTTCAGATTCGTATGCTCTGTTACGTCATAATATATATATCAGTCACCCCTCCCGTACCGCGCTAGATCTTATAACTATTAGGTATATGTAGAAAAACTGTTCGCTATTTGCTATGTGGTTTTGGCAGAGTAGAATAGAATCTCTCCCACTCTTCCCGTGGACGTCGTAAGCGACTGAGGGACAAATATGCGAACATCAGGCCTCCCCAACCCGTCTGGCCAGCGTGGGGAGTGTAGGACAAATCCTCCATTTGCCTCTGGTCAATTAGAGGGACGTGCTCCTGCACTGGAGACTGAATGACCTGATGTTGAATCTATTGAAATTTTGAGTCACTAAATTTACTGTTATCACAACATCATTTACTCAATTTAGACTTAAGTGAAGGTCGCGGGAGGTGCCTGGATGCAGGACCGGTCGCTGTGGAAAATCCTTGGGGAGGCCTTTGTCCAGCACTGGACGTCATTTGGCTGAGACGAACGAACGAACGAATAACTGGTAATTATAATTATACAGTAGGTATGTCTTCAATGTTTGTGCCCTACACGAGAATCGAACTCTAGACACCCAAATGGAGAGAGTCATGAGCCCGTTTTCACCATCGATCCCTAATTTTTAAGTGACCCCTAAGGTGAAATGAGGGATTGATGGTGAAAATGGGCATTAATCATCCTGAAAGACCATCAAATCGAATAAGGATAATTATAGTACTTTCAATGTTACCTATTTCCCATCTTGGGGTATAATTCATGGGCAATAGGTAAAATTTTCAATATAAACCTAATCCATAACTTTAATAAAATATAATAAATTTATCAACCATAATAGTTAAGTGGTGCCATTATTGGTGGATATTCCAAACTATCAGATTTTATTTCTAATTTCCATATTCGACGCTAACTATTACTATTTTCCTTAACCTAAAGTTTTGTTTATTTTTATAGTCTTAAAAACGGGGCTTACCACCATCATCAACCATTGTATTGCTATGCTAGACTCCTTTTTTTATTCTTTAAAAAAAACTCATTAAATTCATTTTTATGCAAGTTGCCTTATAAAAAGCACTTTTACACGTCCCTGTTAACCCTACCACTGCTTCGGGACAATAATGGGCCAGTGCTGAGAAGAAGCAGCGCAAGAAACTCAGTCACTATTTAAATTTCAGAATCTAATAGCTTTGCCCGCGACTTCGTACACTTGAAAATAGTTTTCATATTTTTTTTTTCGTTTTTGCAACATTTTTCTTTGAAGCTCCGCTTCTTTTAATTGTGGGTGATGCTTACATAGCCTTCTTCGATAAATGGACTGTCTAAGAACACAAAAATATTTTTAATTTCGTCCGAGATTAACGTGGTCAACCAAACAATCAAACTCTTGAGATTTTAATAAAATGTCTCAAAATAGTATTCATTCATCGTTATCATCATCATTTCAGCCACAGGACGTCCACTGCTGAACATAGGTCTCCCCCAATGATTTCCATATCGCCCGGTTGGTAGCGGCCTGCATCCAGCGCCTTCCTGCTACCTTTATGAGGTCGTCGGTTCACCTTGTGGGTGGACGCTTTCCGGTCATTGCTTCCACTCCAGAACCTTGCTGCCCCATCGGCCGTCAGCTCTGCGTACTATATGCCCTGCCCATTGCCACTTCAGCTTGCTAATCCGTCGTGCCAAAATAGTATCAATTTCAAGATTTATTAGGTATTCTTATAATATTCTTTACCAAGCCTCATTTCCGATTACATGCAGGTAATTATATAACAACACGCATGATAATTGAATACGAACCCTAATTACACGTGTGCATAGGGTTGCCAGGTGTCCGGCTTTGGCCGGACATGTTTGGCTTTTTACGGTCGTGTCCGGCCAAAAATTGTCTTGTCCGGCCTGTCCGGCTTTTGTTAAGCTTTTTATATGGTTGCCGCGCCAGGCGAAAGTCGAAAGAAAGCGCACGCATTAGGATGTTGGGATGATGATAGAATTCACTCGTGAGCTATGACACTAATTGCACCCCCAAGTGACATGTCCGGACAAATGAAGCACAGAGTCCGGCTTTTGTGTTTTAGGACCTGGCAACCCTACGTATGCATAATTTTCCATGGAAAAACTGCGTTCAGAACTGTTCCAGATCAAAATACCGCGGCAATACAGAATAAATAATAATAATGTTAGTATGTACAACCCAATTGAGTTAACTGCGCACTAGGCAGCCGTGACGTCACATTGACGCTTAAGTGAAGCAGCTAATGGAACGTACCGCGTTGAGTAGAGCTCTGTGATTGGTTCATTGTGTCACCCTGTGCGTCCACGCGCATTGTGAGATCTCATAGTAACGTTTGTGAATAGTTACCTAGAATAGTTATTTTAATGAATCAAATTGATAGTAAAATGTCATACGATATATTGTTTTGAATCAAAAATTGTTTTTAAGTTATTATCGGGCGTAGTAACAATGCTATCTTTTATTGACCTTTGAAGTATCAATTATTATGCTAAAATATCGACTCTAGTCACCTAGTGCGACCTAAAAGTTGACCTAACTAGATACTAAAATAATTGCAACATTTTAATTAATTAAATTGTTTTTATGCCGTTTCAATTAAGTAAAATAAACAAACAGTCGAATAACAATATATTGAGAACCTCTTTTTTAGTCTTTTGAATATTGTACTTCTTTTTAAGTCCTATTAACTCCTCGTGGTGAACTAAAAAATACAGGGTGGAATTATATAATGCCACCTGGAGGGAAAGTACCTACTCATAATAATCTGTAGATAGAAAATATTACTCAAAGAAAACATTTCTTTATTTTTGATAAGAAATAGAACTGCATTCGAAGATTTCCAAAAATTTGCTTGCCACAGCCGGGAATCGAACCAACCAAAATCTGTTAAAAATTACATCCTGTATTTTTATTTCAACAATAATTAGGGTTAAAAGGATGAAATCTCCCTAACAAACTTGATAAATCAAATTGAAGGAAAACCACGGAATCTTAACTTATTTAAATTATTTACAGAAAATTATGATATAGGGTTTAATTTAAGATTTTTTTAAATATCTTTGAATGCAGTTCTCTTTCTTTTAAAAAATAAAGCAATTTTTTCTTTGAGAAAAAAAATCTATCTACAGTAGGTATTGTGCCTACCTACTTTCCCTTCCAGGTGGCATTATAAAATTCCACCCTGTATATTTTTCTTTCTTTCTCGATTATAAAATGGGTTAAACGGCACGGTTATACTGCCCAACCTCTCTGGCCAGAGTGGGGAGTGTAGGCCAAATCCTCCATTTGCCTCTGGTAAATTAGAGGGTCGGGCTCCTGCAATGGAGACTAAATGACCATGATGATATTACAATAGAAAGAAAATACACTCAACATCAAATAAACCGCACCTTCCGCGACGCGAACTTTAATTATTTTCTTCTGACACAATCATGGTGTCAACAATATTGGTGTTATTTGAAAGCGCAATAAATAATACCCTTAAAGAAAAACACATTTCATTTCTTAATAAATGTGACTTGAAAATAGACCTCACTTTGGGCTCACCTCTGGGATCAATTAGACCAAATTTTATGGTTGTAAAACCAAATAATGATCACACGTATCCTTTTTAACAGATGTATAGCGATTAATCCCAACTTAACAATTTTATAGCCATAAAAGTTGGCTCAAGCGTAACTACCTATTTTTTGAAGAAGTGACTCTGGATCCTTCTAAATACCTACACATTTTTGGGGTAAAAACCTTTCCTTTAATGAAATGAAGCTTAGAACTAGGCTTTCAAATGGAATCAATGTTGGTGGGATGCGGGGATGCATAATTGCATACGTTTGAGAAGTGCTTGTTGCGGGAGGTGCGATTTATTTGATGCCGAGTGTAGATCTTAATTACTATTGTAGCGCTATGCCCATCCTTTAATTGATCATAAAAGCTCAAGCAACAATTCCAATCATTGAAAACAATTGCCCAATTACGTAATTTATGCATTGCGGCAATAATTTAAATGGCCTATTTTTAAATTCTATTGTAACTACATAAAATGACCATTGTTACACATCGATTTTATGTAAACGTAATTTAATTATTGATTAAAGATTCTGGGATTAAAGTATTTAATGGATTCATTTGTTGATCCATCAATTGGTTGAAGTTTTACACGACATGTTATTAAAGAAGAATGCTCATAAACATGCAAGCGATATAATTCTTAATGTCTGTCTATTTGTTGAGTTAATCCTACTGATATTATAAATGCGAAAGTTTGTGTGGATGTCTGGATGTTTTTTACTCTTTCACGCAAAAAGTACTGAACGGATTTTGATGAAACTTTACAGTATTATTGATTATTATGACCTTAAATATAGGCTATAATTTATGACGATTCGTGACAAACTAATTTTCACGCGGGTGAAGTCGCAGGCAAAAGCTAGTTATATCTAGCTCTAGATAAAAAGAAAAGTGGAGTTGTAAGAGTATACCTACCTAGTGTGAACAATTTTTGGTATTTTTGTTGCTAAACTGTGCAAAACATCTTTTTCAAAACCCGGAAAAACTTATACCGCGAGTCAACTCGGGATAACGCCATCTAGGATTTAAAATTGGAACTAACATGACTTAGGCGTAGCGCCATTACAGAGTAGTACATTTTAAACTTAGCCTAAACATAAAAACAGCCCGGTCAAGTTAACTGCGCATCTGGTTACCGTGACGTAACATCGACGTTTTGGTCCAGACGGGGCGAATGCGGGGAGGTGTGCGGGTGAGTGCGAGGTAGAAACGCATTCCAGCGAGGTGCGCAGTTAACTCGATCAGATTGTAAGCATAGCAATATTTATAGGAATACTATCTTTCCGCCCGCGGCTTCGCCCGCGTGGAATTTTCTCTTTCACAGAAAAACATTACCGCGCGCGTCCCTGTTTCAAAAACCAGAATGAAAACTATCCTGTCATTTCCCGGGACTCACACTATCTCTATGCCAAAGTTCATCAAAATGGTTTCAGTGGTTTAGGCGTGAAAGCAAGGCAGACAGACAGACTTAGAAGTATAGATTGTATATGTTGTTGTGCCTTTAGATAAATAAGTAATGTAAAATTTGTTTTGTTTCAGTGCTGGTGCTGTTATCAGCAACGTTCGTGCTCAGCATGATAGGGACAGTGTTCTTCTGCTTCACAAACACAATCAACGACGCCATATTGTCAGTAAGTTGTTTACTAACTACTAATATTAACTATACTGCTTAGTATGAATCGTTTCATCCACGAAGACGCGCCCCACCAATGTTTGGTCTCGGTCGCGCGGGGTGCGGGGAGTTTGATCCGAGCAATCCGAGCGTCATTATTGTAGTGTGCGTGTGCACTCATGGATGATTTAGCGTGTACCGATAACACTCAAACATTAGCGGAAGAATGGTGGGGCGCGTCTTCGTGGATGAAACGATCTATGTACCCCAACCCGTCTGGCCAGCGTGGGAAGTGTAGCCCAAATCCTCTTTTTGCGTCTGGTAAATTATAGAGTTTCGTACTCCTGCAGTAGAGACAAAATAAATGTCCTGAGGATGATGATGGTGCTTACTGGCAGGTAGACTATATTTTACTACCTCACATTCTAACCGATACGATTCCTACTTCGCTAAAAGAGCCGGATCGTTAGCTTTAAATCTTGTCTTTTCCAACCCCCCTCCCTCTAACAATCTTCTGGGATAAACTTGACTTTAGGTTCTAATGACAGAAAGTTTTAAATCCTGCCTACACTTAAGTTGCAGCGGTGGGACGAAGAAAAAGAACTAATCCTACCTCTTGTTCCCACCACTGCAACTCCTGTGTAGCCAGGATCTACAGCTTGACCGCCAATAACCCAACCAGTGAAGGTCAAGTCTTTCGCCCACCACTGCGACTCGTCCTGTGTAGCCAGGATCTACAGCTTGACCGCCAAAAACACCCAACCAAGGTCAAGTTTGTCCCGAAAAAGCTATCAAGCAGCAGTTCAAGGTTGTAAAATCTATATTTTTTCCAGAATATGGTGATCCGCAACAACTCCCTAGCCTACAAAGTGTGGCAGCGGCCGAACGTCCAGCCTCTGATGAAGGTGCACGTCTTCAACTACACCAACTGGAGGGACGTCAGAGATGGATATGATGATACCTTCCACGTGGAGGACGCTGGGCCCTACGTCTACTCGTGAGTAGAATCATCATCATTTCAGCCATAGGACGTCCACTGCTGAACATAGGTCTCCCCCAATGATTTCCACAAATGCCGGTTGGTAGCGGCCTGCATCCAGCGCCTTCCTGCTACCTTTATGAGGCCGTCGATTCACATTGTGAATGGACGTCTTACGCTGCGTTATCCAGTACGTGGCCTCCACTCCAGAACCTTGCTACCCCATCGGCAGTCGGTTCTGCGTACTATGTGCCCTGCCCATTGCCACTTCAGCTTGCTAATCCGTCGGGCTATGCAAATATGGCAATTAAAATCAACATGGGGGAAAGTTAAACTGTCATTAAACCCGCAACGAAATTAATCAGTAGTACATTGGAGGAGTTCAAAGTTAAGGTTCTCTGGGAACAAGCCCTAAGTAGTTAATAAATTGCAACATACAAACGTGTTGATATACATAAATGCTTACGTTATCGCCTACGATATGACCACCACCATCGTTTATGGGGCCCATAAAATAAACTATCTAATTTTGGTATCTTTCATTACACTAGGTGTGGGGACACCATAAGTTATGGCGAGACATTTACTATACAATTTGACATTTTAGTACTTGGTAATCTTCAAGGGACGAAAGAAGTCTTTATTAATATCTTCTTAGAGACAAACAGCCAAATCTATACTAATATTATAAAGCTGAAGATGCTTTTGAACGCGTTTATCTCAGGAACTACTGGTCCAATTTGAAAAAAAATTATTGTATTTTAGCCCATTTATAGAAAAAGGCTTTCGGCCAATAGAGGCGGAGCAGTAAAAAAAATGTTACAAAAACGGGAAATATTATTCAAACTATTTTCACGCGTACGAAGTCGCGGGCACAGCTAATCTAATATACAGGATGACAGGGAAAACTCGACCTATTCTTTGAAAGAAGTTATACTAGAGGCAACAAGTCAAGTCCAGTTCCTGTCGTGATTAATGTCGTTGCAAGTCCAATGACATTTTAACTTTCCCCCGGGACAAACTTGGCCTTCACTGGTTGGGTTATTGGCGGTCAAGCTGTAGATCCTAGCTACACAGGAGTTGCAGCGGTGGGAACGAGAGGTGGGAATAGTCCCGTGGTATGAAATTATGAATTACTATTACTAGCTGCCGCCCGCGACCTCGTACGCGTGGACCCCGTCTTACCCCCTTAGGAGTTGAATTTTGCAAAATCCCGTCTTAGTGAGCAGCTACGTTCTAAAAGGAACCCCCATGCAAAATTTGAGACTCCTAGCACTTGTAGTTTCTGAGATTTCGTGATGAGTGAGTGACCTTTCGCTTTTATATTCTTGTCCGATGAAAAACAAAACAATGGTGTCCCTACACATCCCCCAATAAAGCTTTATCGAAGCTGCTTGCTGATACTATTATCTGTTTCGACTTATTGCTGACAAGGCCACCCTTTAACCGGCTGTAGAAAGGAGTATTATGTTTTCTATCTCCCTTGTTCTTGTTCATAAATTCAAATTATAAATTATACTCTTTATGAAAAAAAAAGGTCTGAAATATAGGTTGCATGAAGACGCTGGATAAAGGCTATCAACCGGCCAACCTGGAATTTATTGGGAAGTCCTATGTTCAGTAGTACTTAGACGTTCTGTGGCTGAAATGATGATGTCAAGAGTGCATGGACTTTACTTGCCTAGCTCTCATTTTGCACATCGCATATTTATCTTCTTGGTACCAATCTATGTACCTATTACTAGCTGTGCCCGCGACTTCATACGCGTGTAACCCCGTTTTTGCAACATTTTTCATTGTGGCTCTGCGTCTATTACTCGTAGCGTGATGGTATATAGCCTATCGATAGCCTTCCTTGATAAATGGGCTTTCTAACACTGAAAGAATTTTTCAAATCGGACCAGTAGTTCCTGAGATTAGCGCGTTCAAGTAAACAAACAAACAAACTCTTCAGCTTTATAATATTAAGTATAGAAGTATAGATTGTAGTAGCCGATGTTATCCGGAAGTTGTGGTAGAGCAAGCTATATTTAGAACGTGTAAATATAAGTGCCGTGAAAAGTGCCTCCACACAATATATGTATGCTTATTTGGTGCGAAAACAACAACAAACAAAAAATAAGCATTTACATAGGTAGATAGTGCCAGATTACTGTCACAAATTGTATAAATATAAATATTATTTCTTGGAATTACTTCTAAATAAGTAAACACCGCCACACTACTCATACATTATTTATTTCAATTTACAATTTTAAATAATCTTACACTATCAATTCAATGTAAATTTTTGAATTCGTCGAATGTTGGGTCTGAAACCACTTTGATTCACGTTATCCGCCTAAAAAAATCATGAAACTTGTTTTATTTGTGCAAGTAGGCTTTAAAATAGGTCTTTTACACTTTTAGGTATTTTTATTATACTTTAAAAGCATTTTTTTTAGTTAACTAGCTTTTGCCCGCGGCTTCACCCGCGTGAAATTTAATAAGTCACAGATTGTCATAAATTATAGCCTATATGTTATTCTGGGTTATAAACAATAATACTGTAAAGTTTCATCAAAATCTGTTCAGTAGTTTTTGCGTGAAAGAGTAACAAACATCCTGACATCCAAACTTTCACATTTATAATATTAGTAAGAAGTAAGACTAGTAAGATTGAAAAATCGATTTTAAGATCACTGTCAACCATGATCATTCTTTGAAAAAATATGAGCCTTATTACAAAAATGTTTAAATTGATTTTTACAATCCGATCAAGTTAACTGCGGACCTCGCTGGAATGCGCCTCTCCCTCGCACTCACCCGCACACCTTCCCGCTTTCGCCCTGTACCAGAGCGTTGATGTGACGTCACGTCAGCCAGGTGCGCAGTTAACTTTGATCGGGTAGTTAAAAGTGATATTTTAAAACAGTGTCCAAAGCACATTTAAATTTTTGCAATAAGGCCCTGTTTTTCAACTTGTTTCAATGTTTAACAATTTTTTCAGTTGAGTTTATTATTTAATAGATTTCCGCCCGCGCCATCGCTTGCTTGAAATTTTGTCTGTCACAGAAAAATTTATCGCGCGCGTCCCTGTTTCAAAAACCGGGATAAAATAGTTTTTATCCCGGTCAGGTGAGGACATAGGATAGTTCCTAAAGTTCCTATGTCCTTTTCCGGGACTCAAACTCTCTCTATGCCAAACATCAAAATCGGTTCAGTGGTTTAGGCGTGAAAGCAAGATAGACAGACAGACAGAGTTACTTCCGCATATAATATTAGTATAGAATAGTATAGAATTTATTTTCATAATATTTTAACCACATAACAAAGTCTGACCTTTAGATGTTTTAACTGCGGATCAAAAAACTCTTAATGTAATTATGTAATTTCTTACATAATAATTAAATAGGCAATTTAATTAAATTGTTTTAAAAATCTGCGTGCGGTCGCTAGCATATTTATCTTTTGCCCTTGACCTCACTTGGTGTCATGTTTGACCACGTGTCTAAAGACATTTCAAGTCGGGGTTTTGAAATATAAGATAAGATCCAGAATGTGAACTTAAAACAATAGGATTGTTTCTTGGGCTAAAAAGCAAGAGTTTGAATTAGTTAGTCCGTCAGTTAACTTATCAAAAAATACTCGACGCTTTCACTTTTTCAAACTAATAAAAATCCCATGACCTCAAGGCGTGGTTGAATGTAGCACGATGTGACGTCACGCGGAACTTCAATCAAGGCACCATACAAAATTATTCCAGAAAAAAATGTTTTGTTTGCTCGCCTTGGCAGGGCACCACACCACACTACCGTGATACTAGATAATCGACGTCCACTGCTGGACAAACTCCTCCCCCAAGGATTTCCACAAAGACCGGTCCTGCGCCGCTCGCATCCAGGCACCTCCCGCGACTTTCACCAGATCGTCGGTCCACCTAGTGGGAGGCCTGCCCACGCTACGTCTTCCAGCTCGTGGTCGCCACTCAAGAACTTTCCTGCCCCAGCGGCCATCAGCTCTTCGAGCTATGTGCCCCGCCCACTGCCACTTGATTTTAGCGATTCTGCGGGCTATGTCAGTCACTCTGGTTCTCCTACGGATCTCCTCATTTCTGATTCGATCACGCAGGGAAACTCCGAGCACAGATAGGCAATAATAAAATTCCCACTAGCGATAATTCACAAGTTTTGACAATGGTTGCCGTTACCTACATAATTGTACAAATACCTAAACGTGTTTTCCAAATTACCTTTGTTGACAGATGCATTTAAGACTTCATGGTCATAGAAAAATAGGCACATAGTTAATAGTTATTAGCGCACTATTATTATTATTATTTATGTATGTATATTTTATGCAGTATAGGTTAGTGTCCGTGACTCCCACTCGGCATGGGGCACACTGAAAACCAGCGTCGTGGCCTCCCTCACCGGGGGCCACGGCATATGCTGAGTGGGGTCCCATTGCGATGGACATCGCTGTGCGACAGGGCGGCACTGCTCAGTTTACTTTCACTTTCATTGTATGTTTTATGTCACCTATGTCTTATTTACTTTTTTTTTCTATTATTTACATCTTTTGTCTTCTGTGATGTCCATGGCAATAAATGTTTCTTTTTTTCTTTCTTTAATTTCGTCGATACTATAATATTTACTTAGCTTCGGTCTGCGTATTCGCCCGTATGTTATCGGTATGCTATCATAATCATCAGGTCATTTAGTCTCCACTGCAGGAGAACGACCCTCTAATCTACCAGAGGCAAATGGAGGATTTGTCCTACACTCCCCACGCTGGCCAGACGGGTTGGGGAGGCCTGATGTTCGCATATTTGTCCCTACTTAGGACATCCAGGGGAAGAGGGGTGGTCCTATACTACTCTGCTGGAACCTACATAGCTACAAGTCTAGCGAATAATTGAGTTAGTGCCTGATGTATACGAGTCGCGCATACTGCAATACTTCGGACATGTCTCAAAGCGGGATGAAAACTCCATAGAAAGACTGGTCGTCCAAGGAAAAGTCGAAGGAATCCGATCGCGTGGCAGGTCACCAATGCGCTGGACCAACCAAGTTAAATCAGCAGTGGAAGACGGCGTATGTGACTGCACCAGACAGTCTGCCAATAGAGAGTGATGGCGGGAGTTGTATCCGCTAATCCGCCTCTACAACCAATGTGAACAACGCCTCAACGTGACTACGACCGCTCTGCCAAGAGCGTAACGAATAAGAAGATAGGAGCGGCATGAGAGGGGTGATATGACGTGACAGAGCATATTCTGAAGCACATCTGAATTCTCACTATCGTTTGACGTCACAAATACAATCTCCCGTGCCGCTCACATATCCTCAGGCACTGACTTAGCTACAACCTGCTTGAATTACTGCGTACCTGGTAACTGTGACGTCACATCGACGCTCTGGTACGGACGGGACGAACGCGGGGAGGTGTGCAGGTGAGTGCATGGGAGAGTCGCATTCCGGCGGGTTGTATGCGCTAGACTAGTAAAAGCCGAAACAAGCTTAGCTACAAGGCATAACGAGTAGCTTAGTTTGGGACCAAAACTATTCCCATCTCTCGTTCCCGCCGCTGCAACTCCTGTGTAGCCAGGATCTACAGCTTGACCGCCAATAACCCAACCAGTGAACGTCAAGTTTGTCCCGCGAAAGTTACACTATCATTGGACCCGCAACGAAATTAATCAGAAGAACATAGCAGCAGTTCGCGTAATAATGGCGTGGTGTACAATGTCCAAGGATGTTTACGAATTACTTCAATACTTACGCACTTCAATTAGATCACTTGGGTGAAACCCTCAACCATCGTCAATGAATGAATTATATAAAGTTAGGTAAATAAACGTCATTACATGCACGGCCAATATGTTTGATAACCTATCAGCACCCTGCATCGAACTAGCCACAATAAGTCTACGTATTGATGCACGTAGTCATTAAATTGTATACAGTGTAAACAGACTGTTGACAATTATGTAAATAACTTATTATATGCATAGTTTATCAGTTCCGTAGACAGTTCTGTGAATCTACTTAACACAAGCATGTTTAGCTTACGAGGTTTAAACGGGACAACGAAAACTGGGATGGAATCACAGATTACAGAAACTAAAGGCAAATATGAAAAGGGGGCGGGGCCAGCGTCGCAGCAATATGCCCAAAAACAGAACACATTGCTCGCGACATCAATGATGACTGCAGCGACATTATAGTGTAAACAGTTTACATTGCTTGCGTATTGCTAAAGATTATTCAAACGTTGAGTACTGATACCGCAGTGGATAATGAGCATATTCTAACTTTAAGAATATATTCAATCGCACGTCACTGCTTATGTAGTAATGCTGTACGTATGACCGTAGAACTTTATTATTCTGTGGTATGACACACACTTTGTTTTTATTTTGATTATTTTGTTTGTGTGAATTTCTAATGCAACGATTCAAAAATTTCGGATAGTTTCGGATGTAGGCAGTTTAAATTGTTTTTGTATAGCATTATGTGTAAAGGAACCTGATTTACCTTTATAATGCCATCTAGTATCAATTTTTATTTTTTTATTACTTTTTATTCGATGTAAAGTGTGCGGCCATGAATGAACCGTGTTGGACAACTATTGCAAATTGCATTCTAAAGCACAGATAACCGTAACCGTAACCGAAACTTTCGGATATCCGAAATAAAAAATATCCGTAACCGTAACCGAAACCGGTATAATATTATTCCTATATCCGTAACCGTATCCATAACCGAAACTACATATCCATAACATCCCTAATTCTAACCTCCCTTTTTTAACTTTGTTCCAGGCAGCAGGTGGAGCGAGTGAACGTAGCCTTCAAGGGAGAGCAGCTGACCTTCCAAGAAATGAATGACTTCAGGTTCCTCCCCAACCGGTCAAGGGGACCTGTCTTCGATCAGATCTCAGTGCCTAACATGCCTTTAATGGTCAGTATCACGTCAAAGGACGTCCATCTTCATCATCACATTTCAGCCACAGAATGTCGCGTCGACTACAGTGTCCCAAAATTTTCCAGATTAGCCGGTTAGTTTAGCCCATGGTTAACCCACCACTGCTTCGGTACAATAAAAAGGCCAGTACTAAGAAGAAGTCAAGAGACTCACGCCCGTTTTCACCATCAATCCCTTATTTTTAAGTGACCCCTATGAACACAAAAATCCTGTTATGTGTTAGTATAGGGGTCATTTAAAAGTAAGGGATTGGTGGTGAAAACGGGAATAAGTCGCCTATCTTTCCTTTTCAACAAGGGCTTCCACAAGAATTTCCTCAACGACCGGTCCTGCGCTGACCGCATCCAGGCGCTTACCTAATATTACGTTCACCTAATCATTAATCTAGCATGGTCACTTTGCCACCATTCGAGAACCAAATTCTACCTCTCGATCCCACCGCTGCAACTCCTGTATAGCCAGGATCTAGTTAAGAATAAAATAAATAAAAATTGTTGGTTTAAGACAGATAGTTGTCCCCTGGGATGACTTTTTTATTGGATTTCATTGGAACAAACTGTAGATCCTGGCTATACAGCAGTTCCTTCCGCCACTTCTTCTCTGCCTGCAGCCCATATGTTGTCCCGAAGTGGTGGTAGGGCAAGCTATATTTGGGGACGTGTATAAGCGCCCTGGAAAGGGCCCAAGTACTGAATAAAAACTTGACTTTGACTTCGCAGGGACTGTCAAAGGTGGTGGAAGCGAACTTCAACCCTATAACACAGTTTCCAGTTATAACAATGCTGCCTTTTGCCAACCATCCTGAAGCATTTGTGCAACTCCCTCTACACAGGTATTTATTTATTTATTTATTTATTAACACCAACAAGACATACACCATTTTAGACAATATTATACATGCTTATATAATAGGTTAAGTGCTATCTTAATTATAGGCGTTACACAAAATAAATTGAATTAACGTAGCACAGAACATTAGTAAATTTTAAATTGAAATAAGTTAAATAACAATAAATTAGTAATTTTACAATAATTTTGCAAAAAAAAAAATACTTTTATGAAATTAAATTATGATCATACTATAGTGCGTTAAATATATAAATTAGAAAAGACAATCAGGGCAGCAAAATTAGTCCTTTACGGAATTTTGATATACTTATTGCTTGAAAATATATCCACATTAATCAGTTCGCTTGATGAGTCACTGAGCGAACCCATGTTGTTTGTGACATGTTTGTGTACTTTATTATAATTAGTCACTAGCCTATTAAGTGGTGCCTGGAGTCCCTGACGCGAAGATGAATTTCTCTGAACGAAGGGCATGTAAGAAGCTAGACGAATACCACGCGAGGGAGCACGAATATTGATCTGCGACAGAAGGTTAGGCGCATCAAGGACACCATTAACCAGCTTATGGAGAAACAAGTGATCCATCAGATTTCTTCGATCTTCCAAAGACTGAAGCTTAAAATGCTTTAACCTGTCGGAGTAGCTTGGGAGCTTTTTAGCCATGTTACAGCTGTATGATAAATGCCAAAGGAAGCGCTTTTGAACTCTTTCTATATTTTTCCGATACACGTCATAGTAGGGGTTCCATACGATGCTACAGTATTCTAGCTTACTTCGTACCAGGGCTGAATAAATAGCTATTTTTGTGGATGGATTTCTAAATTCTTTGCAATTTCTCAGGACAAAACCAAGCATCCTGAAACTCGCATTCACAATATTCTCTATGTGCTTATGGAAGCGTAATTTGTTATCGAGAATAACACCTAGGTCACGCGCATGCTCCACTTCCGACAGCTGATTCCCATTGAGGAAATATGCAGAGGGGGTTAGCTTCTTCTTCCTGGTAAACCTAACAACAAAGCACTTATCGACGTTTAAGCACATGCCGTTTCTAGAGCACCATGAATTCAAGTTGTTCAGGNGTAAGTATGTATTGATATATTACACTATCTTTTTTTTAACCACAACGAGGAAGCTCTTGGTCTGTATCTCACGGTAAGTGATGATCAAGCCGAAGGTGGAAGCGAGTTTCACCCGGAATACTCAACCACGGAGGAACTATCTTACCTCTTCTACCGGAACACAACAATGCTGTTAACATACTTAAGTAAGATGGTGGTAGCTAGCCAGGCGGACTTAGAACAAGCCCTATCACCAACCAAACCGAACAGAAAAATCTTTGTCCCATAACTTCGTCTGCATGAGGAGGCGTAGCTGCTGCCGTATCAGCCTTATCCATGATACAAGGCCCCAGGCCATAGGGGCCCTCAATGCCGGACAAAGACAATTTTCCGGCACTGAGGGGCATAGAGATTCATAGGGGCCGTTAGGCACCCCACGCGAATGTTAAAGGGGCCTCCAACAAAGATACAGGCCTCGTCTATGCCACGCTACCGCTATCTTAGACTTCAATAAGTACCTAGTAGTAAATACCCTATTTCCTCTGTCTGAAGTATAAGCTATAAGATTGTATCATCATCATCAGGTCAATTAGATAGACCCCACTGCCGGACGGAGCACGACCCTCTCTAATTTACCAGAGGCAAATGGAGGATTTGTCCTACACTCCCCACGCTGGCCAGACGGGTTAGGGAGGCCTGATGTTCGAATATTTGTCCCAGTCACCTTTTACGATGACCACATTAATTTGGCCTCCCCATGATTTCTTGATTGGCCGGTTACCTTTCTGCTACCTTTATGAGGTCGTCTGTTGACCTTGTAGGTGGATATTCTATGCTGCGCTTGCCGGTACCTATTTTATTTATTGTTATGCCATTGTCTTCAGATTCCTCTGGGGCTACGAAGACTCCATCTTCAACGCTGCCAAACCACTGCTCAGCATTCGTGGAGAATTGAAATTCAACCAGTTCGGACTGTTGGCTGCTGTGAGTTTATATTTATCATTAAAATGTAGGTATACAACACGTCCCATTTATTTGTCTGTTGGCGATAAACTCAAATCTGATTTTATGGTTTTCATCAACAGATTATTCTTTACATTGGAAAATAACAAGAAGCTACAAGATCAATTTTATAAGGTTTAGCGATTATTATCGTTTATTACAACGATAATTAACACAAAAACCAAGACCTAGTAGTTACACTAAAATAAACATTTTCGACCTCCTTTTTGCTCCTCCTTCTGTAAGATTGTAACAGGGTATTTCTCATCGCCACGGTTNACTGAACAGGGACAGCATCCGCAAGGTCTTAAGTGTCATAACCGGACACTGTATGCTAAACAAGCACCTATACAATATAGGTGTCACAGACAGCCCGCTGTGCAGGGGGTGCATGGAGGCGGAGGAAACACCGCAGCATGTGCTCATGGAGTGCAGTAGCGTGGAAGAACAACGGGCTCAATTTCTTCGATCACCGTCGTCGCTACAGGAAGCCTGCAGCAGCCTGGACGGGCTGCTCGCCTTCTGGGGGGATCTGGGGTGGTTGGAGTAGGAAGATAAACCACAAATCGCGCACAATGGCCCTATCATGAGGCTAAGTGCGGTATTCGATTGCCCTGCAAAACTAACTAACTAACTAACTAACTGTGCGTACCCTGGTACGCGTACCAGGGTACGCGCGATCCGTACGCACCTTTAGATCATTATTTTGGTTTTATAATGTCAAAAATTGGTTTAATTGGTCCCAGAGGTGAGCCCCAAGTGAAGCTTTTTTCGAGTCACATTTATGGTATCTGTTAATTGTCTATAAAAAAAAGTGTTTTTCTTTAAGTTTATATTTATTAGGCTTTCAAATAATTCCAATATTGGTGGGGCACCATGGTCCATGATTATGTCAGAAGAAAAACTTTAAAGTTACTGTCGCGGGAGGTGCGATTTATGTGATGCCGAGTGTATTTTGACTCTGAGTACTTAAGTACGAGTTACCTTCCGTAAGATCTTCTCTGGCTTGAGATTTTCCTTTTGGTTTTCCAAATTTCTGTTTACTGAACATGTTCTCTTTAAACATTTTATTGAAAAAATTTCCCTTTATCATATTACCGCCTTCTTTGTTTGGCGCCTCTCCTGTTTGTTAAATGGCATTAATTAATTAAATATACAGGGTGTTAGGTAAATGGGTATATGAGCCGACACTAGCCCATGTTAACATATGCATATAAATGGTATAGTGAAGTCAGAAAATTGATATCATCATTCTAATTATTTTAATTTTCATACAAATCTGGTTTTATAAATTTTATTTTGTATGAAAATTATCTATAGATCTATAGATTGATAGATCTATCAACGCACAGCCACGCACAGCCCAAACCACTGGACCAATCGGGCTGTTTGGCATGCAGGTAGTAGATGTTATGACGTAGGCATCCGCTAAGTAATGATTTTACGAAACTCCACCCCTAACCGTTGCGTGCACACCGTTGATTTTTCGTCGGCCGATAGTTTAGTCGGGCAGTTGATCAGTATGGGCAATGGGCATGTATGGGAGTGCGCACACTACGCCGATTCGATTTGGCCGATTCCTCATACAATTTAAAATCGGGCACAACTATCGGCCAACTAAAAATCAACAGTGTGCGCCTACTCTAAGGGGGTAAAACGGGATCCACGCGTACAAAGTCGCGGGCGGCCGCTAGTTATCTATAAAAGCGAAAAGTTACAGACTAGGACTCACTCATTCATCACGAAATCTCAGAAACTACAAGTGCTAGGAGTCTTAATTTTTGCATGGGGGTTCCTTTTAGAACGTGTGCTCACTAAGACGAGATCTTACGAAATTTCACCCATAAGGGGTAAAACGGGATCCACGCGTACGAAGTCGCGGGCGGCGACTAGTTTTTTTATCTTTTTGTCTGACTCGACTTTTCGTGATCACTTATTCATTCATTCAGAGCATTCATTATTAATTCGTGGTACAAAACTACTAAAGACCTATTAATACCTTCAGTTAAGGCATCATTAACTTCAGGTGATCCTCTTTCATCTCCATTATCAGCGTTGTCATAGTTTTCTATATCGTCTTTTTGGGCTCCATATCGTGTATCTCCTGTTAATCAAATGAAAATATTAATTTCTAAATTGTAGCCACAACAGTAGGTCAAGACAAGTGCCAGTTTTTGATCGAATCGAAAATCTAATCCGTTCACGGAGCGATGTAAAAAAACGCTGGAGCTAATGTCCACAAACAACATTACTATGAGGTCTCACAGTGCGCGTAGACGCACAGGGTGACACAAGAATCAATCACAGAGCTCTATTCAATTTCACATAAGCAAGCATCGTTTGTGAATACGGGCGTAAGGCCTTTCGATGTTATAACTGTCACGTGCCACTTGTTATAGAGCCTAGCCATACAATATAAGGGTTCCGTTTTTTGCCATTTGGCTACGGAACCCTAAAAAAACGCTGGAGCTAAAGCTTCAACCACCGGCGCCGGCGATCATAGGGAAATGATAGGTCGCGTGGACTGTCATGGGTCACGCGCGTTGTTGTGGTTGAAGCTTTGGTGCGGTTGAAGCATAGGCCTTTCGATATTATCTATAGTCTGGTCTGCGAGCACGTAGAATTTTGTCCAATGACCCCAAGCTACCCATCCTTATCGCTCGCGCGTAATTATATTGCTGTCGCGACTGTGCGACGGGCGCCCACAGTGAGTGTGCGAACGCGACAGCAACATAATTACGCGCGAGCGATAAGGATGGGTTGCTTGGGGTCGTTGGACAAAATTCTACCGTGCTCACAGACCGGGCTTTATCACGTTTTGCCTCTTGTCTAGGGGGGCTGCTCTCTTTCTAATTGAAGCCACGATAGCCGAACGGTGAAGGGGTCGGACTGGCCGACTCGACATCCGAAACGCGGGTTCGATCCCCGCCGCTCGACTATTATGGTGAACCCACTCGTAACATTCATAATATTTAGCTTAGTTCCCTAAACCAGGAGGGGTTTACTCGGGCGAGTTAACTGAGCACCTGGCGGCCGTGACGTCACATCGCCGCTCTCGAAAGCTCGATCGGGTTGTAGTTACTTTACAATAGTATCTATATCTACTAATATTAAAAATGCGAAAGTAACTCTGTCTGTCGGTGCTTTCACGCCTAAACCACTGAACTGATTTTGATGAAATTTGGCATAGAGATAGTTTGAGTCCCGGGAAAGGACATAGGATAGTTTTTATCCCGGTTTTTGAAACAGGGATGCGCGCAATAAAGTTTTTCTGTGACAGACAAAATTCTAGTTAGTACCTAAGCTAACTAGTTTACAAAAGTAAAATCATAGCCTACCTTCCGTAAGGGCTTCATTGTTACCAGACGATCCCTTTGCGCCGCCAAATTGGTATTTGCTAAACATGTTCTTCGGGAACATTTGGCTTCCAAAACCGTCTATATTTTCCGTACCTTTCAGGGTTTCTTTGTTTGTGTCTCCTGTTTGGTACATGAAAACAACGTTATTCTTAAGGCACAAGAAATTGGACAAGGTAAAGGCTTCCCCTAGGCGGAGCAGAGCGGAGCGGAGCGAAGAAGTATCAAGCACTCAAATTCTAAAGAATTTGACAGCGATGGTGGCGCGACGCGAAACGGAGCGCCACCATCGCGGGAAGCGGAGAAGTTAAGTGGAATTAATTAAATCTTATTGGTTATTAAAAACTCTTCTCCGCTCCGCTCTCCTCCGCCTTAGACTAAGGCCCTTAGTGAAAGTCCTCGGCCACTAGACACGGGGGTGTTTGGTGGCCGCTAAAGGAGGACCCGTGGCGGCGGCGCGCGCATGTGTTCACGCGCGCCGTTAGCGAAAACCAGGGGAGGTACTCGGCTGNTAATAAATTTATGAAAACAAATATTAGGATACATCATATTTATGAATATTATAGTTATTTATTCGAATGATTAGGAGTTTCGATCATTAGTATAGAAAAATATATGAAAACAAATATTAGTAAAAACTAAGTGTATGATTAGTGATATTATGAATATCAATGATTATGTTTTTAAATATGTAGGTTTTAAATTTTTTATGAAGAATGATCATTATGGTATCAAATTGTATGAGAAATATTTTCGGACCTCCAATGATAGGAATTGAAAAGTTATGTAAGAAAATGCGCTACCATTAAACCTACACTCCCCATACTGGTCAGACGGGCTGGGGAGACCATAGAGAATTAGAGATGTAGAGAGATGCCAACTAATGCGCTGAGTTCGAAACTCAGTGTCGCATTAGAAATTCACACACAAAGTAATCAAAATATGTGCTCATTATACTGCGGTATTGCTCAACGTTCGAATATTCTTTAGAACTACGAAGGCAATGTAAACTGTTTACATTATGACGTCGCTGTTGTCATCATTGCAATGTGTTCTGTTTTTGGGCATATTGCTGCGACACCGGCCACGCCCCCTTTTCACATCTCCCTTTAGTTTCTGTGATCTGTGGGAGAGACCAAATTACTGTAATCTTATTCTAAAATATTATCGCATTCTTGCAGAAAAACCAGACGTTATCTGAGAAGCTGACCATAAACACAGGGGTAGAAAACATGGACAAAATGAACATGATCGAAGAAGTGGACGGGCAGAGCCAGCTGGATATGTGGACTGGACCTGATTGCAATAGGTTAGAGACCTTCTATTGTTCGTCGTTTAAGCCAAATGACGTCCACTGCTGGACAAAGACTTCAAGGATAACCACCGGTCCTATGTTAGAGAGAAACTCATAAAAAACTCACAAAACTCATACATTTTTTGCAAGTAGGTTTTAAAAAGCACTTTTACACGTCCCAGTATTAACCCTACCACTGCTTCGGGACAATGAATGGGCCAGTGCTGAGAAGCAGCGCAAGAAACTCAGTCACTATTGTCACACACAGAGGGAGAGAGCCTGTAGAGACCAGACCTTAAGAGACTTTTAAAGGCGCCTTCCTTTGTTCGTCGATTCAGCCAAATGACATCTAGCTGGACAAAGGCCTTCCAAATAGTTTCCACAACGACCCGTCCTGCATTAGAGACTTTAAAAGACTGATGTGACTTAGTTTCTTCTACCAATTGTCAGCACCAGCTGAAATGTTGTTTCGACTTGCAGGTAGGGTAATTTATATTTGGGACGTCTGCGTGCCCTGAATAGTGGCACAGAATCCTGATAACTCAGCTTCACTAAATGTAGAGCCAGATAAAACATTTTTAAGTCGCAAAATTGTTTACTTATGGAAAATTTGAACAGCTCAGCTTAGGCCTCGTGAACTGTAGTACATTCAGTGGCATCAACTAACTATAAAACTATACTTAGTGGCTTAAAATCCCACTTATATCATGCCAAATTAGTTGTACAAGTACATTATCAAATCACGTTCCTCTGCTAAACAACTGTACGCTCATTTCACGAGCTCTTATCAACATAACCGTCTGAATGAGAATTGGCTCCATCGTTATCACTAGTACACAGTATAGATGGGCTCAGAAGAGTCAGAAGCTTTCTGGGATTCTGGAACTATAACCCAGTAGAGTTAACTACGCACCGGGTGGCCGTGACGTCATGTCGACGCTCTGGTACGGACGGGGCAAATGCAAGAGGTGTGCGAGTGAGTACGAGGGATAGTCGTATTGATGCGCAGTTAAGTGGCAGTATATCCAGCAGGCTGATGAGGGCCGTTTTCACCATCAATCCCATTTTTTTTAATTGACCCCTTTGAAAACAAAATTCCTGTTAAGTGTTACCATAGGAGTTACTTAAAAATTAGGGATTGATGGTTAAAACGGGCATGAGTAGGCTAAAGCTTAGGGCGGCAAATTTTATGGAGCGGCATATTTAGTTAAAATCAGATAAAGTCGCATACCAACGTTCGCGATCGGTCCGTATCGAGCGCATAAGGCGCCCGATCAGTGGCGAACCCAACTAGAGGGTTGCCCACCGCGGTGTTGGACCAAAGTCCAGCCTACGGCGGGCTTACTAGTAGGCCCGATCGAGGGGACTACGGACGCGGCCTGAGGGCACCACGGTAGGCCGTGTCCAGCGAACGGGTTTGGGTCCAGTTGTTACTATCTCGGTTTTTCTATTTATACTATTCTATATATACGGGGTAGAAAACTCTGATACCGCGATGCAGGATTGTAGGTGCGGTGGAGTATGCCATAGTAGCCCTTGTGTCAGCGCCATCTGTTGGGTTATGACTGCCACTAATCTAGTGGCGCGTCGTAGACGTCGACACATATCTATGGTCGAACCTACTACCCTTCAGTACCTTGTCGAGGACTGATAACCCACCAGCCTACTGTATCCACTTCCCTTGTAATGAGCGGGCAGAGGTTATCACCCCATGATAAGAAAATACACCATTTCTGAACGATTTAAAAACACAATTTGTCTTCTAAGTTACAGTATTTATCGTTTGTTATTATAAAGAGTCAAGGGAATAGGTAATTATTGAGGAAATGAAACGTTATTAGATAATTAGTTGATGATTTAGTTTTATTATTGTTTAGACACCAGATATTCCGGATTCGATCCTCGCTAGAAATGCTAGAACCCACAAAAATTCATATGAATGAATGAAGTAAATGAGTAAATCTATTTATACTGTCTGGTGATTCCAGCAGAGTAGAATAGGTGACGGCAGAGTAGAATACATTTGTCACCAACCCCTACTCTTCCCACGGGTGTGTCGTAAGAGGCGACTTAGGGACTACACATCAAACAGAGAACGGGCAGCAGCGCTCTCTGAAAAACATAAATCTTTTAAACTGCGATCTCCAACCCGCCTGCCAAGCGTGGAGATTATGGCAAATAATAATAATAAATAATAATAAATAAATATCTTTGGACAATCTCACACAGCGCCATCTAGCCCCAAAGTAAGCAATTAATATGCTTGTGTTATGGGTGCTAGCTTAGCGGATATACTACTTATATACTTTTTTTTTTTTTTTTTTAAATACATACATATTATACATAGTAACACCCAGACCCGTCACAGAAATTAAAATTCATCATTTCAATTTCTGCCCGGCCGGGAATCGAACCCGGGACCTCTCGGCATAGTAGTCCGTTCTGAACCACCACACCAAACGGCCGGCAAAACCCTCCACTATAAGTGGAGGAGGCTCATAGTCCAGCAGTGGACTGTAAAGGGCTGTTGATGATGATGATGAGAATAGAATGATCCCTATGGATGTCCTGAAAAGCGACTACTTAAGGGCTTAATATAGCTACGGACATCAGGCCTCTCAAACCCGTCTGGCCAGCGTGGGGAGTGTACGCCTCTTCCATTTGCCTTTAGTAAATTCTCTAATTTAAAGGGTCGTGCTCCTGCAGTAGAGACAAACATTAGGCCTTCTCAACCCGTCTGGCCAGCGAGGGGAGTGTAGGCCAAATCCATTTTGCCTCTGGTAAACTATCATTGGGGGAGGCCAATGTTCAGCATTGGACGTCCTATGGCAGAAACTAGAGGGTCGTGCTCCTGCAGTGGTGACTAAATGACCTGTTGATGACTAAAATGCAAACATCAGGCCTTCGAAACCCCTCTATAGCCAGCTTGGGGAGTTTAGGCCATATCCATATTCCTCTGGTGTACTAAATGACCTGATAATTGCTAAACGAATTCTTCTGTCCTTGCAATATAGACGCAACTGTAGGCCCCAACCCGTCTGGCCTGCGTGAGGAGTTTAGACCAAATCCTCCATTAGCCTTTAGTAAATTGGAGGGTCGTGCTCCTGCAGTGGAGACTTGACCTGATGATAGCTAAATGAATTCTTCTTTACTTCAAGTATAGATAGATACAATCGAAGGCCCTAATCCATCTGGCCAGAGCGGGGAGTGTAGGCCAATCCATTCCCCTTTGGCTTACCAAAGTTTACTAGAGGGCCGCTACCAACCGTTCAATATGGAAATCATTATCATCAGATCCGGAGGCCTATGTTCAGCAGTGAACGTCCTGTGGCTGAAACTTAAATTCAATGAGGGCTATCGTTTTAGCGCTCACCAGTTAGCGCCACTGTAGAGTAAGCTCCTGTCACTTGCTAGTAGCGAAGACAGTGGCACCAACTGGTGAGCGCTAAAGTGGTAGGAGGACTATCGCATTTGCAATCATCAAGATGGTGCCACTGTAGAGTAAGGTCCTGTCAATCGCCAGGGGTGCCAACTGTTAAGTATAAAAACGATAGCCCTCATGACTTGATGATGACTAAATAGATTCTTCTTTCCTTGCAGTATAGACGCGACTGATGGCTCCATCTTTCCACCATCCCAGCTGGACAGGAAGCAAGTGCTGCATGTGTTCTACCCTAACTTGTGCAGAAGACTACCCTTCCATTACGAGAAGGATGTTGAGGTTAGTTGGCTTAGTACCCTTCAACCTTTAAAAAAGTAGGAAGTTCTTTACTTTCGCGGTTTCGTTTAGCCACAAGACAACAGAGGTTTTTAAAGTTTTATTTGTCTACCTACTTGTGAAACTGTCGTTATTCTTTGCCAGGATTAAGTAAATTACTTATTGGTTCACGAACATCAATCAGGCCTCCCCAACCCTTCTAACCAGTCAGGGGAGTGTAGGCCAAGCTCTCATTTGCCTCTGGTAAATTAGAAAGGGCCGTGCTCCTGCAGTGGAGACTAAATGACATGATGATGAATAGATCATCTCATGTTTCTTTAAACCTGAATAAGGTAGTGGACAGATGGCCTCATAAAGGTAGCAAAAAGGCGATGGATGCAGGCTGCTACCAACCGGTCAATAATGAAATCAGTGGACGTCCTGTAGCTGAAATGATGATGATGAATATCGTGTACAAAAATTCTACTAGCATCTTAGGCTGAGTTGCACCACCTTATTTGAACCGTAACTTTAACCATAACCAGTGTTTTTTGTATGTAGTTTGACAGACTTTTGACGTTTGTTATTAGCTATAACCCAGCCTTAGATAATCATGACTTTCACTGGAGACTAAATGAGCTGATGATCATCATCATCATTTCAGCCGTAGGACGTCCACTGCTGAAAATAGGTCTCCCTCAATGATTCATCCATATTGACCATTCTGTAGCGGCCTGCATCCAGCGCCTTCCTGCTACCTTTATGATGTCGGTCCACCTTTGTACGTTTTCTGTTACGCGGCCTCCACTCCAGAACCTTGCTGATGATGAATTAAATAAATCCTCTTTCTCTTACAGCTAGACGGCATCCCCCTCCTCCGGTATCGTCTGCCCCACAATGTGTTCGACGACCCCATTAACAACTCAGACAACCAGTGCTACTGCGAGGTGGATTCTGCCACTTGCCCCCCTAAAGGGGTGATTAACATCACTGCTTGCGCTATGGGTGAGTGGAAATTGAGGATTTTTTTATGCATGACAACGCAGGTATTTGACCGCAATCGCACCTTTTGTTAACAGGGATGTTATAGATATCCGTAACCGTAACCGAAACTATCGGATATCCGAAATAAAAAAATATCCGTAACCGTAACCGATTCAAAAGTTTCGGATAAATGCGGAGTCTAAATCTTAATATTTTGACATTATGATGACTGATAGTTAAGTCCTACTAATTTAGAAAATAAGTAGATTTCACGTAAAAACTGTAAGGCTCAGGGAAAAAATAGGATAGATGATTAACTCAACAATGTTAACAGCATTGTTGTGTTCCGGCAGTTAGAAGTAAGATGCCAGTTCTTCTGTGGTTGATTCCGGGTGAAGCTCGCTTCCGCCTTCGGCCTGATCATCTCTTACCATCAGATGAGATGCAAGCCAAGATCTTCCTCGTTGTGGATAAAAAAATCTCGTCCCGTGTCCCGTAATATCCCTTTAAGGCAGGTTTTAGAATCGCGCTGACCGCTCGCTGATCGTCGGCGCTGACAGATCAATATGTATGTAATTGAAGGAAACGTTCCTGAGTGACGCTGATCACTTGACGCCGACGCTACATTTCGGCTGTCAGCGCTGACGGTCAGCGTGCGTCAGCGTGACTAAAACCAACCTAAAACCGTGACAAAGTTTGACCGTACGGACAAAAGTATGAAAGATATTTTATCATTTTCCAGGTGCTCCAGCCCTAGCGTCCTTCCCTCACTTCAGCCACGGAGACCCTCGGCTCCAAGTTATGTTCTCTGGGCTACACCCTGAGCGGGTGTATGACAACTACCTGGACATACACCCAACCCTCGGCATCGCTCTTAGAGGGAAGTCCAGGTAAATAAAGTTTATAAATAATTGCTAAAATAGTCAAATCGGCAGAAGGAATAGTATCTGACTGCAGCAAGCAGTTTGCCCTTTGGCGTATCGAGGGTTATTTTTCAGGGGGAACCAGTAGCCTTAATCACATAACAAAACTTCAACGACAAAAAATCGCTAAGTTGCGATCCTATCGAGTAAACGTTCTATCGAAATGACCCTTGTGAATACGAATTTAGAACTGTTTTTCAATGGGAAGACTTCTGAACGTCAGCGAGATCTTGACTGTCAAAATACGTGAATAGGCCACTGGCCTCTGACATACCATACGTCACGGGTGGTCACGGGGGGGAGGATTAGTATCTAGCTCATGAGTGAGTGCTATCAACTATTAACTTCGAATCGGTAGCCCTACATCTCTTAGAGATGACGGCGAAATCTACAACTTGAACGCTTGACTCTGCCAAGAGCAAAAGACAAAGAAGAATAATTTCTACACTAAGAAAGGGTTTTCTAAAATGCACCTCTTGGTACCTATGGGAATAAGGTTATGCCGTTATAAGGTTATTGTATGTAGTTTAAGCGATACTGTAAGCCCTTTACGCGGTATAACCGTAAAACTGCAAATATGCCCCTTTCGGGGGGCCCCATCACTTAAGCATAACTCCGTCGAAGTCGGCAAACCTAGGATAGTCTTAATGGGCAACAAATGAAGCCATTAAAACAATAAAATCTTTTGTAGGAATTGTTTCCGATTTGATCCTAATTTTCATGTTTAATTCTACTGGCCTTTTAAGTATCTCCAGTGAGTCAGATGACATGTTAGAAATTAAGCCTAATTCTCAATACAAATTGGGCCACTTACCTTTCACATATGCTCCTCCACCATCACCAATCTGTCCTGAGACCACTCCATTTGAGATAAGGTCTTGAGTCCCTTTTCGTACTCTTCTCAACACACAAAAAAAATTTTTTTTCACTCTTTTATTATGGAAATCCGGAATCCTCTTAAAAGAAAAGGTAAAATAGTAACAATAACCTTTTATTCATTCCAGCTTACAAATCAACGTGCAAGTGAGGAAATCCAGTTCGTTCACGGCACTGAGTTTTCTACCTCAAGGTCTGATCTTACCAGTAGCGTGGCTTGAAATGGTAAGTTTTTATTACTTTTCATTACCTACATTTTTAAACTTCACTACTTATAACATTTTACACTTTCACACCTTAATTTATAGAGCAACGAGACGCGAACGCGACATTTAATTTTAAAGCTTGACGAAAATTGAAATTTATGTTAGGCTGTGTTGCTACAGCCGTGGTCACAAGCAGACTGACGGCTCGCGGCGTAGTCTGTTTGAGCGGGTTTGAAAATCTTTGGCTACCCTCAAATTAATACATTATATTTCTAGTTATTATAATAGTTATTGTTGTTCTGTTTTGAAATCTTGATTTTTCATAATGATACTTGAAACGGAGAAGTAATTTTCAATTCTAATCCCATTTGGCCAGCGTAGGGAGTGAAGACAAATCCTCCATTTGCCTCTGGTAAATTAGTCGTGGAGACTAACACACGTATTCACAAACGATGCTTGCTTAAGTGAAGCAGCAAATCAAACGCACAGCGTTGAATAGAGCTCTGTGATTGGTTCGTGTGTGACCCTGTGCGTCCACGCGCACTGTGAGACATATAATGTTTGTGAATACGGGCGTTATTGATCAGCCCCCCTAGACAAAACGCACTTTTTGATCGAATCGAAAATCGAATCCGTCAAAACTCCATACAAAAAAGGGGCTTTTCGACCACTTTTCGACTGGTTTGCGATTAAAATTTGCACTTTGTAACGCACTTTTTGATCGAATCGAAAATCGAATCCGTCAAAACTCCATACAAAAAAGGGGCTTTTCGACCACTTTTCGACTGGTTTGCGATTAAAATTTGCACTTTGTCTAGACCCACAGCATTATTCTGTCAGAATAATCGTACGTTATGAACTGTCAAATGATAACGATTGCTTGACACAATTCCACCTCTGATGATGATGATTGTTACAGGCCGTAGAAGAACTACCAGAGAGTCTCCGCACCCTGATCTACCACGGGACCTATTCCACAGCCGCTGCTCAGCTAGGCTTAGCAGTCGGCAGCATAGCATCGCTCATTGTCTCTGGCATATGCTTGTTCATGCTACTGATCGGAAGACGACCAAAACCCTGTGCGACTGTGAAGATACCCATCGAACTGAAAAGTCCAGAACCTTGAGTGGAAGTTAGAAGTGTTGAAAGTTAGGTAGAAAATCTCTTTTTATCGTGGATCTTAATTACTCCACTTTTATGACAATTTCGAATACAACCTGCTCAAGTTAACTGCGCACTAGGCAGCCGTGACGTCACATCGACATTCCAGCGAGGTACGCAGTTAGCTCGATCGGTTTGACTTAAACGGTGGACTTTAAAAAGATCTGTTTTTAAAACTGTAAATATATAAAATAAATAATATAAATCATTTATTGCTATTTTTAAGTTGGAGTTACATAATAGGATACAGATCAAGTAAAGCAATTGGAAGTGATTCAGCTCGTGCTGACAAGGACTATCTCAGTCTGCGCTGGTTTTCAGCCATTTCTACTTCTCTTCAGTGTGCTTACCATGAGTTTATGTTAGGTGTGCTCGCTAGCGACTGCGTAAAAAAATGACATTAATTAGTATGACATATTGTGCAGCGCCCCTAGCGGCTACTTTCAAGAAACAAAATCTTCATAGAGATTTTTGACGTAATCGCTAGCGAGCACACCTAACGTAAACTCATGGTAGGTACACTGGTCTTAATAGAAATGGTAACGATGCTTTTATGTATGGGTAGTCTTGCCAATATCATTTAGCTATGAGAAAACTGCAATTAATGACCAAGAGCTAGAAGGAGTTTGATATTAAACTTTAATTTTAAACTTTGTGAAAACCTTGCCTTGCCAAAGTCGCAGTGTTAACTAAAATAAAGAAAAGTAGAAGTAGGTAGTTACTCTTTTAAATACATACAAGTTAGTGACAATTCTGAGCATTATTCGTGAAACACTTCTTCTTTCCTCAATAGGAAAAGAAATGAAGTGGGTATTCCAACATATGGGCGCGCACACGCGTGACTTTTTTGTCGCTGTGGCAGTACTTATTCCGTGATAGTAATTACCTACCTATATCTGTTTCTTTTACACGTTTATAAAGAGAAACAGAGAGATACTGTCACGGTCATAAAGTCACCTTTGCGCGCGCGCCGTAAGTTTAAAGTAACTACAACCCGATCAAGTTTTAACCGCCTCTGTGGTCTAGTGATAAGACCATCTGCTTCAGACGCAGAGGTCCCGGGTTCGATTCCCAGTGGGGGCAGATTTTTCTGTTCGGTTTGGTTAGTGGTAGGGCTTGTTCTAAGTCCGCCTGGCTAGCTACCACCATCTTACCTAAGTCTGTCGCCATAACAACAATGTTAACAGCATTGTTGTGTTCCGGCAATTAAAGGTAAGATAGCCAGTTCTTCCGTCCGTAGTGAGGATTCCGGGTGAAGCTCGCTTCCACCTTAGGGGTCATCCATAAAGTACGTCACACGTAAAGAGGGGGGGAGGGGGTTGACAAAGTGTGACATGGTGTGACAAGGGGTGGGAGGGGTCCTAAGTTTCGTGACATCACATTTCATTGTTTCAAATATTTGATATAATGTTAAGTACTTAAGAGCGTTGTAGCAAAAAGTTGGCGTTCGAATTTTAGGTTTTTATTGCTTGACGTCGCGAAGTAAGTGCGCAAACTGCATTTATCTGTACAATTTCAACGCTGCGTCGACTAAACGATCTTAATCCGTAGTTGTATCGTACCTAAGACAGTACATCATACATAATAATAAAGAAATAATGTATAATTTACCTATTTGATTTTTTCTCAGATTAGACTTTTAGCAAAATCAAGTTACGTAATTAATGTATTTTTTACACTAGTAAATCCCGCGACAAGTTTTTAATCTTTAAATTGAGTAAAGTAATAAGTTGATGGGTTTGAAAGAATTTATGTTTTATTTTATTCTTTTTACAGCATCAAAAGCTTGTTTATGAAAAATATTTACTATTTAAATTTTATTTTAAACTTTTTAGTTTTTATGATGCGGGTTGGAAAAATTAAGATTTATTCTGATTTTGTGACGTTTCCGCACATAAATATGGATAGGTTAAATAAATAGAATGAAATATATGAAAACGAGCGTGCCATTTTTTAAACGTTATCTATAATATCTGTGTCCATCAAAGAGCTCGTAACTAAACATCGTAAGCACCATTCAAATTATTATCTAAAACTTTAGTTTTTGTAAATCTAAACAAGTCAGGAAATCAAAGAGGTAAATACTGATATCATTGTGATTTTATAGAATTTATTATTATAAACCACGGTCGTATAATGCTAAAAAATCAGAGGTAACTTTAAGATTTTTATCCATAGAGTCAACTGACATAGACCCGGCGTCTACGAGTGCCAAAGCACGACTGATTTATGCCATTTGATGCACCCGATTTTATAGTATTTTCAAATTAATTTTTCATTTGAAGATTGAAGATAGATATTTTTTCTTTTTCACACAATAATAGTACTATGTTTCTTCTTAAGTATAAAGTAGTTTATGTTGCCAAATGACTTTTAGATTATGAGATGTGACCTGTTTTCTTGCAGTAATTTTCTCGAATTTTGACTATCTTAGACATGATAAAAATGCATTTTAATGAATTAAACATCAAAATTTTCTCAATACACTTTCTTCTTCAGGGTATGCTTATTCTAATGAATACATTCTATCTTCTTACTTAGAAATAAATTTGTTGTAATATTAGTTCAAAGTTGTGCCTTCGCGAGTTACCTGGAAATCGGGCTTTCGAAATTCGCTGTTTTCGTAGGCAAAAATCCAATTTGAACGAGATTTTGTCAATAGACATTCCGTAAAAATGTATGATAATTACGATGATATAAGTCAAAAGAAGCTATAACAATAAATTATATGACTAAAATCATTTCGAAATCTGCCAAATTCTCGATTTCTGCATGAAAAATGTGACAACGCTCTTAAGTACTTTTTTTATGAAATCAACATTATTTCCATTTAAATTAATTTAAATGGAAATAAAACTAATTTCGGAACTGCTGTTAATTTCATAATTTTTCGATGTGAAATTGCAAAACATGTGACGTCACACTAGGGAGGGGGGGGTCTCAGAAATGTGACCACCTGTGACAAGGACGGAGGGGGGGTAAAAAAATCATGAAATTCGAAATTCGTGTGACGTACTTTATGGATGGCCCCTTATCTGATCATCACTTACCATCAGGTGAGATACAGGCCAAGAGCTTCCGCGTTAAAAAAAAAAAAGTTAACTGCGCACCTGGCAGCCGTGACGTCACATCGCCGCTCTGGTACGGACGGGACGAGCGCGGCGAGGTGTGCGGGTGAGTGCGAGGGAGAGTCGCATTCCAGCGAGGTGCGCAGCTACTTCATAATCATAATAATCATAATCATAATCATAATCATAATCATAATCATAATCATAATCATAATCATAATCATAATCATAATCATAATCATAATCATAATCATAATCATAATCATAATCATAATCATAATCATAATCATAATCATAATCATAATCATAATCATAATCATAATCATAATAATCATAATCATAATCATTTATTTGCAATTAAACATGGTATATAAAGATGTTAGGTACAGACAGTGAGAACTTCGATCGGGTTGTAATTAAATCTATTATATTCTTTATTGATCTGATCTTTTAGGACCAATTCAATCAGGCTGTGTCTTAAAGACAAAATATTTCTAGATAATTTAGAATCTAAATAAAATCTAAATTTTAGATTATTTTACTTGTATAGTCTGTAATATTTTGCAAATCACAAATAAATCGTTAAATTAATTACTATTCACCCGTATTTACAAATAACTCTTGCTTAAGTGAAGCAGCAAATCGAACGCACAGCCTTGAATAGAGCTCTGTGATTGGTTCGTGTGTCACCCTGTGCGTCCACGGCCCACGCGCACTGTGAGACCTCATAGTAATGTTTGTGAATGCGGGTGTATGTGTTCTAGATAAACACTTGTACGGATTTTTGTTTATTACGGAAAAGAAAAAACTGATAAAAAGTCTTGAAAATCTTTAGGTTAAATTAGGAAGAACAAAGTATCTTATGAAAGTAAATCAAGAGATGATGAATGACAAAATGTTTTTATATTGTAAAAAACAGTTAAAATGTGTTGCTATGTATGTGATTTTGCAGGTCTAAACATTCCTTTTTTTATCCCATTTTTCTAGAATGTAAAGATTTTTCATGTATTGATAAGAAATCGTTAAGGAATCATCATATCATTCATTTAAGTACTTATTATTTAAGTTGCAGAATTTTTTTGAAAATATTTTTAAGTGTCGCCTGGTGGACGTACGATTATTTATTTAATTTTTCTTCTTTTCTTTTCTTGTATTTTTGTTTGGGTGTAAGTTTTTTTTTAAACAGTCAGCGTCAAATAGTTTGTGACACCCAAAGTAGCCAAAAGTTCGCGACACGTCTTTGTTACAATGAGGGCTATCGTTTTAGCGCTCACCAGTTAGCGCCACTGTAGAGTAAGGTCCTGTCACTTGCTAGTAGCGAAGACAGTGGCACCAACTGGTGAGCGCTAAAGTGGTAGGAGGACTATCGCATTTGCACTCATCAAGATGGCGCCACTGTAGAGTAAGGTCCTGTCAATCGCCTGGGGTGCCAACTGTTAAGTATAAAAACGATAGCCCTCATTGGAATAAGGTTGAGTTGTCCACTTTTTGGCCACTTTGGGTGTCATGAACTATTTGACGCTGACTGTGTACCATTTTTTTATGTGACGATTGCCATTTTTCTCATACAACCAAAAATCGTGTGTAAAAGTCTTAAAAAGTACAAATACACCAAAGCCATTTTGTATAATGTCGAACTTTGTAAATATCCATTTTTGTATAAGGTTGATATCAACGGGGTATATTTGATTGTATAAATAAATATATTTTGTTTGTGATAAAACTTATTTTGATATTCCTTGTCCTTTTCTAGAAATAAGAGCAGTCGCCCGGCAAGCGAAGGGCTGTGACTTCAATTCCCACTTTAAGCAATCCAATTTTTATGGTTATTAATAAATAAATACATACTTAGTTACTCTACTATGTTTCAGTCTATAGTCTGGTCCGTGAGCACGTAGAATTTTGTCCAATGACCCCAAGCTACTCATCCTTATCGCTTGCGCGTAATTATGTTGCTGTCGCGCTCGCACACTCACTGCGGGCGCGCGTCGCACAGTCGCGACAGCAATATAATTACGCGCGAGCGATAAGGATGGGTAGCTTGGGGTCATTGGACTAAATTCTACGTGCTCGCAGACCGGGCCTTAACTATAAACTCAGTCAGTGTCTGAGGTATGGGAGCGGCATGGGAGGGAGGACCTAGGTCATACGCTTTGCAATGGAGGGAAGTCGAACCTTAACTTCGAACTCCACGTAATAATAATATGTTCTTCTGATTAATTTCGTTGCGGGTCCCATGACAGTTTAATTCTCCCCCGGGACAAACTTGACCTTCACTGGTTGGGTTGGCGGTCTAGCTGTAGATCTTGGCTACACAGGAGTTGCAGCGGTGGGAATAATCCCGTTCCGTGCCGCTCCCGTAACTCGGGCACTGGCCGAGTTAAACGCTAGACCTTTACAAACGAAAATTAAAACCACTTTTACATTTTACATAAATAATTTTATTACAAAGTTACACACAAATCAAATTCCTGATTACTTAGCGGAGTTTTGGATCACAGAGGGCTCTCCGCTACGTTTCTTCAAGGCATCTCCAGAACATTCCCTTTTGGAAGGAGTCCAGATGTATTTGTGGAAGCAATCAATGCAGAACACGTGGCCATAGTAAGTACGGGAGTTAGTGGGAAAAGTGTGGCATACACCTGAAAAGGACGTCGCACACTTATCAACCCGAAAAGGGATCGTAACCGTATCAAACTATCAACTCGAGGCGGTCAGTATTATTTGTATGAAACTCCATGCTGCAACGCACACTTATCCGCAACGTAACGTAAACGCCTCGCCTCGCGGTTGACAGCGCGCGAAAGGCAATACGGTGTTGATCCCTTTTCGTGGTATTAAGTCTGACCATAATGATGTTTCATAGAAATAACTGATAGCAATGGCAAATTGCAGAAATGGCATTGCTAAAATAAAGTGGCAGTGGGGCCCGCACATAGCTCGTTTAGAGACTAGAACTGATGGCCATTAGGGCAGAAAAGTTCTCGCGTGGCGAACACGGGCCGGAAGACGTAGGTTAGGCCTCCCACTAGGAGGCCTGACCACTAGCAAATAAATGAAATGAATATCAGAACTTGTGTTTCTTTAATGAAAAGACCGATAGTTAGCGGGATAAGCATTTATTATTCGGGTTCTTACACAGACACATCTTGTTCGTACATAGCCGGAAGAGGGAAGAGCGTTCTACCGGAAACAGTTAACTTTTTAATATTTAATACACTTCCAAAGATAATATAATCCTAACACTCCCTCTCAATTACAAGTTAGGCTTTAACTTTTAATTGCAAAACAAAATAATTTTTATCTACTAATAAAAACTTCTAATAACAATATTCCACTTATGTTTTAGTATGGCAACATTAAAAAAAAGAATTTGACATTTCAGAAACTGACATTAATGACAACTAGTGACACATGCAACTCACTTCACACTGTTCTATTAATGTAAACAAAACTTTAAATGAAATCACTACAAAACTAATAACTTCTCACGAAAATAACTGAACTTGATATTACACAGTGATTTAGTCAAAATATCTGACGTATTTTCGTTTGTACTTACATATTTGACACTTACAATATTATTACAAACTATGTCTTTCACGAAATGAAATTTAATGTCTATGTGCTTCGAATGTCGAGTGTTTTCACTGTTCATCACCATTTTAATCGCACTTTGATTGTCCACATATAACACTGCATCACTTTTGTCTTGAAAATCGATTGCAAGTCCCCTCACAAATAATAGCTCGCTCACAGTCATAGCGGCGGCGACATACTCTGCTTCCGCAGTTGAAAGGGCGACAGCTTGCTGTTTCCTGGATGACCATGATATAGGATTTCCTCTGTGATAAATGACCATGCCACTGACACTTTTTCTGTCAGATTTATTACTGGCCCTTGTGCTGTTTCATTATACTGTGTTCTTGTAGTACCTCTATATCTGCGGCCTCTGCCTCGTCCTCGGCTTTTGCACTCGAAGGATTTATGCCCTTTTTTATGGCATGTATAGCATTTGATGACAAATGAAGATTGTGGTTCTGTGCTACTATATTCCCTCTTTATCTCATTGTCAAGCAATCTAGACTTTACGAAGTCGAGCCTTAGCTCTTGGTTTACCGTTTCCATTGCTGTTATTATTGCGTTGAATTCCTCTCCCAATCCAGTTAAGAGGTAGCTGATTTTTTCATTTTCTGCAATTTTCTCTCCTGACACTTCTAATTCTCTTATAAGATTGTCGAAATTGGCGAAATATTCTTCTAATTTTCCTGTATGTTTCAAAGTCAATAACTTTCTTCTTAGGCATATTTTTGATATGACCGTGTTTCGTTGGAATGTGTTTTTCAAAACTTCTAACATTTCTTTCGCGCTTGTGCTTTCTTTTATCAGGTTTAAGTGTTGGTCTGTCACGCTTTGGACGATGATACTTCTCGCTTTTGCATCCATGAGTTTCATCTTCTCATCACAGTCTACTATTTTCTTTATATCCAAAACTTCTGTTAGACCTTTTTCTGCGAGTATGCATTTTATCCTGAAAACCCAGTTGTCGTATGCCCCTGCACTCAATTGCGGTAGCGGCGTGTTACTACTTGACATCGCCATTTTTATATTTCACAAATCCGCTTTTTCCCGAATAATCTACAATTAATACTTTCCCTAACTCTAACTAACGGGCGTCTGGGCCCATAACCTATCAGAACTTGTGTTTCTTTAATGAAAAGACCGATAGTTAGCGAGATAAGCATTTATTATTCGGGTTCTTACACAGACACATCTTGTTCGTACATAGCCGGAAGAGGGAAGAGCGTTCTACCGGAAACAGTTAACTTTTTAATATTTAATACACTTCCAAAGATAATATAATCCTAACAATGAATAGGTGGTAAACAACAAGAAATTATGACCCCGTCCCGATTATCGATTACTAGCTTTCCGCCCGCGGCTTCGCCCGCGTGGAATTTTGTCTGTCACAGAAAAACTTTATCGCGCGCGTCCCTGTTTCAAAAACCGGGATAAAAACTATTCTATGTTCTTTCCCGGGACTCAAACTATCTCTATGCCAAATTTCATCAAAATCGGTTGCGAGGTTTAAGCGGGAAAGCGTAACAGACAGACAGACAGACAGACAGACAGACAGACCGAGTTACTTTCGCATTTATAATATTAGTTGGGATGAAATCGTTATCAAGAATTTGTAATTTTTAACGGAAACTATGGATGTTAAAATTACTCACAACACAAACCGCAATGTGTCCGATAACTTTGGCCATCCATATATTTTATTTCTGATTCATCTTTGAAATTATTGTTAGATTTGTGATCGTTCCCATGATTACTCGTTTCAGCCATAATTTTTATGTATTTTTTATATTTTTTGAATAGCTTGTTGACATTTTTTGATGATTTTTTGTTGTCAGTGAGCTGTCGGAAACTACCGGACTTACCGGAAATTAAGTGTAAACTTGAAGTAGCTTCGTAAATGCCTAGAACGATAATAAATCCAAATTGAAATGTCTAAAATTTGTAGGTGCGGCATGTTTGAATTCTATGGAATGTTCATTGCAACTAGCGCCACTGCTGACAATTTTGGAGTCCTTCTCAAATAAGTCGGTTATTATACTGTATTTAACTGTCAAAATGGCATCAAACAACTGATCACAGGCGTGGCTATTTTCATAAATTTTGAATGAAAACTAGTATTTTTACGCCTTTTGAATAGAAATTAGTCATCAAACTACTAGCGTGTGTTTAACTACATTCACCATTGTGAATCTTATCCTTTCACACCCTATGGAAACGGTGATTTAGGCATAAGTGTTGGGTGCCGTTGTATTGGTTTTTGATTCGTGTTTTTTATGATAAATCACGATGTACGGACGTAAAACTCCGTCTACGTATCGCTCTACGCCTTCAGTGTATTCTCATTACACTACCAAGTAAGTATAATCTTATTGGAAAGTCGATTTTAATCCAAATAAAAGATTGCTTAGAAAAAAGAAAAGCAACACTTGTAAAAATTAATCATTGTTTCGTTTTACAGGTCATCCACTAACCTCCGATCGTCAAAGTCGGTGAGATCCCTCCGTCTGCCGTGGTACCAGAAACCGATACTCCACGATGCTTTCTTTCTTGATCTACAGAGGGGATCCCTTCTTACTGGTTTCATTTCTCTTGTAAGTATTAAATAATTTTGTGATAGCTTTTTTAATGAAAGTAAGAGTACAAATCTATATATATAAAAATGAAACCCGTTTCGCGTTGTCACGGCATCACGTGTGAACGGCTGAACCGATTTCGATAATTCTTTTTTTTTAATGTTTGTGGAAGGCCAAGGATGGTTCTTACGGAAAAAAATATTAAGAAAATCTCTACGCTAAGGCGGTACGAAGTTCGCCGGGTCAGCTAGTACAGTATAAACAACAACACCCAGGCTATGAGCATTCCTTAATGTAATATTTGCTTAGTTAGCTTAACAGAGCTGTATCTGCACTTAGATAGATAAAATGTTTATTTGCATAACAGGAACACTTATCTTTCGGATTAGGCCATTGTCACGGTAAAACTATCATACAGTATTGTAACTCCATATAAACAGAAGAAACGCGAGCTTTCCTACGAACATCAAATCTTGGGATGCGCTCGAGATCCAAGTCAGGGGTGTCGTAAATGTGCCGCAGTAACGAACGGACGTCGTTGGCCTAGTGTTGAAAATGACTAAAGCGATTAAATTTGACTCACCATCATTTACGGTCAAATTGGTCAAAAACTAGTCATTAACTGTCAAAAATGGTCATTTTCAGTCAGTTTGATTTGAAATGAAAATTATATTGTATAAATTATTTATTTCAGTTCATAGCTCTCTTCACGTTCGCGCAAAGCATCTTCGACCTGTACTGCCTGGGGATGGCGGCACCCGGCTCGGTGCATTACGGATATTACGTCATCAGCTACCAGTTTGTTTACGTTGGCAGCGCACCCGGTAAGACTTACAAAAACTTGCCAATGTTTGTCTCAAAATGCTAGTAGGGCAAAAAACCGGCCAAGTGCGTGTCGGACTCACGCACAAAGGGTTCTGTACCATTGATTTATGAAATTAGAATTATTTCTTTTTAATTTAAGTTATTTGTATGAAAGATTACGCGGTAATAAGCGGTTTACGATTTACGAGGTATTAAAAAAAACTACTTACTAGTTCAGTTCAGTTCTAAGTATCGGGAGCCCCCAATATTTATTATTATTTTTTTATTTTTGCATCAAAATCTTAATGCAGTTCACAGAATACATCTACTTACCAAGTTTCAACAGTATAGCTCTTATAATTTCGGAAAAAAATGGCTGTGATATACGGACGGACAGACAGACATGACGAATCTATAAGGGTTCCGTTTTTTGCCATTTGGCTACGGAACTCTAAAAAGAATGACGCCCGTATTCACAAACATTGCTATGCGGTCTCACAGTGCGCGTGGACGCACAGGGTGCCACACGAACCAGTCACATAGCTGTAGTCAGATTTGCTGTTTCACATATAAGCAAGCATCGTTTGTAAATAAAGGAGTGAGACATATAAAAATAAAATTTGAAGATTTCATGTACTAATTTTAATTAGTTCAGACAAAATACAAAATGGGACATATTGATTTTATTTATAGTAAATTGAAACATATTTTTATTGATCAATTAACATTTTTCAATTTTTATATTTCAGTCCGCAATGTCCTGATCGTGTTCTCTCTCTTCTCCTGGATCGGGTCGGTAGCTGTTCTGGTGACGAGTATCCTGCTTATTTACGCATTGAGGAAGGTATGACTGTACCAATAATCATTTGTTTCTAAAAATATAGCACAAAATACATGGTGTTACAAAATTCAAATGTGTGTCCAATATTAGTCCAAGGCAAGTTGTGACTTGACTAAACAAAAAGAAATTCGTATCTTAAGAGTAGGCGCACATCGTTGATTTTTCGTGGGCCGATAGTTCAGTCGGGCAGTTGATCAGTATGGGCATGTATGGTAGTGCGCACATTACGCCGATTCAATTTGGCCGATTCTTCATACAATTTGAAATCGGGCACAACTATCGACCAACTAAAAATCAACGGTGTGCGCCTACTCAAGACTACAGACTTTTAGTCGGCCGATAGTTGAACCCGATTCCAATGTGTTTTTATTTTTTTAATTTTCATACAAAATAAATTTTATAAAATCCGATTTGTATGAAAATTAAAATAATTAAAATGAAGATATCAATTTTCTGACTTCACCATACCATTTATATGACCATGTTAACATGGGCTAGTGTCGGCTCATATACCCATTTACCTAACACCCTGTATACTGATTAACAGCCCGACCCAACTATCGGATGATAAAAAGTCTAGTCTTCGACTAGTCTTAATTTATTAATCGATTTATTTTGTTTAGTTTATCTCTCAGTCTATAAATGATTTTATTCTCCTTAAGTCAGACTTATGCCTTTTTAAGACACCAATATAACAACACATTTTAAATTTTGCGTTTTGTAACACTCTTGTTTCATTTATTAATTCATTAGTAAGTCATTCACTCAATTTATTAACAAATTCATTGTGTCATTCATTCTATCATTCATTCATTCATGCCGCCATCTTGTAGTATGTGAAGCACGGTAAAAACCAGGTATGAAACTAGTCTTATTATAGCTTTTTTTTTTCTAGTATACCTACAGAAATAGAGACGATAGCACGTTAGGCTGCACATTTTCGTTGCAAAACCGACCTTATTGCAAGCACTTAAAGATGCCACAGTGCATAGCTTGACATGCCATTGTCTTTGCTTTGTTTGAGTTGGTTTTCATTTTGTTTAACTTGATAACACTAAAGTTGAATAAAAAACTTATTTATAAGGTACATACAATACCCGGCGATAAATATTGCACATTGACCTTTAGAAAGAGACAATCGGCTAATTTCGGTTTTGTGGAGCGTTATCACTGTCGCACTTGAACAACGACTGACAATGACGTTTTGTCAAAGTGTAAAAAAACTTTATTTTAAATGTAAAAACTTTTTATAGTCGTGAAAGAAAAGTGGTTCACAATGCATTAAAGTATTTGTCGAAGAGAAATACTAAGGGTTCGGACAATATTTTCATTGAATAATGTTTTGTCAATGACGTTTTGTCAATCGTATAGGTAGTGTGCGACAGAGATAACGCTCTACGAGCCGAAATTAACCGATTCTCTTTCCAAAGGTCGATGTGCAATATTTAATGCCGGGTACTGTACTCATTTCATTGGTCGATAACTCAGTCGATATACAATCAGTGTGCCTACCATGAGTTTACGTTAGGTGTGCTCGCTAGCAACTGCGTAAAAAAATGACATTTAAATGTATGACATATTGTGCAGCGCCCCTAGCGGCTACTTTCAAGAAATAAAATCTTCATAAAATTTTTTGACGTATTCGCTAGCGAGCTCACCTAACGTAAACTCATGGTAGGCACACTGAAGTCTCGCTGACATTTGACGTCACAAAAACACCTTTCCTTGCATCCTACTTCCTACTAATATTATAAATGCGAGTTTGTGTGGATGTTTGTTACTCTTACACGCAAAAACTACTGAACGGATTTTGATGAAACTTTACAGTATTATTGTTTATAACCCAGAATAACATATAGGCTGTAATTTATGAAGATCTGTGCCAAACTAAATTTCACGCGGGTGAAGCCGCGGGCAAAAGCATGTATATTTATGTGTTTAAAAATTCACCCATATTTTTCCCATTGCAGGAATACGAAAAACGCATAGTTCCCTGGCTATACACCTTCGGAGTGTTCATATTATTCCGACTGATCGCGTTTCTGTTTGCTGCTATTGTAAATGACATGATTTTCGCGTATAATGTAATGATGTGTTTGCTATGGGTGGTTTTCTGTGTGTGCGGCGCTTATGGATGGCTACTGGTGTATAGTTTATATTTGGAGTTGGCTGATCTGACGAAGCTGGAGGATTTGGCGCATTTGAGGGTAAGTGAAAACTGATAATTACTATTCTAGTCTTATATGTATAGACTAGAGATGAAACGGATATCCGGTAACTATCCGGTAGGCCGGATATCCGGCCTAATTTTACTATCCGGCCGGATACCGGATATTAAAAAACTACGACAATTTCCTATTAATAAAAGTAATTACCTACATTAATCTTTGAGGTAAATATCAATAAAATGGCTTATAATAATGACGGCTTTTACTTATAGTCCAAAAATTACAAAAAAGCCATATTAAGGAATTTCAAAACTAATTTCTTTTTCTGGGCTACCTATTCACTCTAATGACGAATACATAAATAGTAAAAATATCTGTTAATGTCGAAATATTGCCAATTTCTTTTTTCACTGATGGTCTGATGATATGATGCAACTAATTAAATTTTCGCTATTCAATCACACACTCACATTTGCAACTG